GTTTTGTTAATTTAAAGTATTTTCATCCCTTAACTTTAATTTTGTCCTTCTGGAGAAAGCCATTCCTGAAAAATCAAGAGAAGATCAAGCAGCAACCGCTGACTGTCCCCTTGTCCTGTAAAACCATTAGTTGTCAACCACAGAGGGTAGCTTCTTCTGATATTTCTTTCATGTATGTTTCTATTCTAATATTAAAAATATTAGAATAAATACTCGAGGATGCCAAGTAGAAAGTATCTTCCCTCTCTTCTATCAGTTGTCTGTTCTTCTGATTCCTTAGCTCTCCATTCTCCATCTCTTTCTATAAGGTTAGTTTTTGATTACTGTCTCAGACATAAACAGTCAGTCTATTCCAGTTATTCAGCCACACTGCTATAATGTAGTTTTCATGTCCCGGGTAATAAAGTTTGAATTAACTCAGCTTGTGCCTTCAGGGATTAGGCAAGTAAATATTTTTCTGCATGCTAATTAATATGAGACTGTAAAGGATATTAGTAGGCATTTGTTTTATGCCATGCCCCCCAGCTTTCTCTCCCTCACAAATCTGAAGATCTCCTCAATGGTATTACCTTATACTCCATCATTTTGTTAGGTACACACTTGATGAAAAAAAAAATCACTTTTCTGATTAGACTTATTGAATAATTTGTTATGATCAGTCATATTTCTTTAGTTTCTTCACCCTAATTTTCATATTTTCTGATAGCAGTCTAATTTGCTGGTAACATTTAACTGTAACACAAATAATGATGTAGAGTTCAACTTGGCAGATAGTCTTCAGGTTGTGTGTTTCTGTAAGATGGGAAAAAAGCAAATAGACACTGGGTGGCAGATGAGTGCAGTTGTTGAGGTCACTGATTACAGAGCATTTGTATATATGCTAAAAATGCAGGCAATTTGTTAAAATTGGTTATTGTTGTCTTATGGCAAATTAAAAATGTACTTTATGTTCCCTGTGTAATAAATATTGTTTGTACATTTTGTATTTATTTTTCAAAATCCTTTCATTTGGATCCCATTCTTCCCCTTTCTTCTTTGCTTTTAAGGGTTACTGTTATAATAAAGGGTAATTTGTGATGTCATTCCTGGTTCTAAAACATCAGTGACACTGGAGAAGGAGGTGCAAAGACCAAATTGATAGAATCTATTATTACCTCTACATAAAAGCCAAGGAAAAAATAAAAGGGGGGGGATATCTGAGTTAGTACAGAGAGTGCTCATCTTTTCATATGATTGCTTTCATGCAAGCTTTGTGGCTGTCACACTGTCAGGTATCTAGGTGCAGTGTGTAATGCTTGTTGTCCCCTGGGTGTAGCAGATTTTTTCTGCATGTGTCACGACAGAGAAGACTGTTCAGCAATAACTCTTTTTAAAAGAGATGAGACAATTTTAAATGGTGGCAAAGGATATAATAATCTCATCAGGATATTCTGGTCCTATAGAACCCCCTGTAGAACCTCTTTATTCTGTATAGTACCTACATATCTTTCATGACTCAAAGTACAGGTGCTTTCTTTGTTGTTGTTGTTGTCTGCAAAAATATCCGTCTTAAAGATTTTGCTTACTTTTTGTACAGTAGGGTATGTTGTCTTCTTTCAATTCTCTAAATTAAAAAAATATTCCGAAAAATAAAATGTATTCCTCAGGAGACAAACCAGTGCCTACCTACGTCCTTGCTACATTAGAAGCCAGATCTCATATGACAAAACTGACTAATAACTTCTTTCTACATGCCAAAAGTTCACAGAAGAGTCCCTGGTTATTGTAAAGCTGGGATCCATTAGAAAGGCAGACAAGAAATGTGACTAGAGGAAATGAAACCTGAAACAGAATTAAACATGTTAATCTCATTATTAGCTTTCTCTGAAAATTGTCAAGCTTGTACCATAGTTTTGTTTGGAGACGGGCAAACTGCGGGGTTTGTTTTCAGTCTAATTAGAAGTGAACATGTCCTCACCTCTGTAAAGACACAGAACTCATCCAAGTGAAGGCAGTAGCAACTATTATAGCAGAATATCCATTGTGATAAGCTTAGTGTCTCATTTCAGGAAGGCAAAACCCTGGCTGTAGTTTCTAAGCCAGATATTTGACAGTATAGCTTGCCTCCTGTGCTGGGAGCTTATGAAATATTTTCTGTCTCTGATTGTGTCACCTATACAGAGCAGTGCTGACCTCTTTCAGTCAGAACACAGTTAATGGGCTTCTGAAGAAAGAGAAGAACTAGAGATAAGTGTGGTGTAGGGCTCGAGAAGTCTTTGCTATGGTAACCCAGAATAGTTCATCTCCCTCATCCAAGTATGTATCTTGTTGTCATGGTAATCTGGGGTACTTCATTTCTTCCCATCCACATATGCAGAGTCCCAAGCACATTTTATCTCATGAGGGTAGCCCTGGATAGCACCCACCTTTGCATAGGCACCAATATAATGAACAGCTGCAGAACTCAGAATTCAGACCACAGTCCCCGCATTACTTCAGAGTTCACTAGTGACAAAAACAGGACTTTGCATAGGTTTGTAAGGCAAATCAGTTAATCAATGCAAGTTTTATTATCCACAGTTCTGTCCTTTGAGCTATACTTCCAAGCAGGGTTCCACTCTGTCAGGTCCCTCTATTTAATTAGTGTTGGTATACTGGGTTTCCCACCACGGCAACACCGCACTTTCATTAAAGCCAAAGCTTTCACTTGCTGAGTGCTGTACCTTGTCCCTGAGGGACTGGCATGTCCTTTTTGCTTGTAATATACAGATACTTATACTCTCAGTTAGTAGGACATGCTCTCATGGTTGGTTGGCCAAATTACACAATGTTTGTTTACTACATGCTGGCTCTATGGAACAAATACATGTCAAAAGGTATGGTGACTGTCAACACTACTGAGTGATGACACATTTGCTGAACAAACCTTGGAATGTTGTAATTTCATATAAATATTTTTTATTTCTGCAAGAGGATGATTAGAATATTTAGTTCTCTTCCCAATGAGGTGACCCTTTGTCATACTGAAAACAGTGAAAAATCGGCTCAACCAAGATTTAGTATGCTGTGTACAAACACATACATTATACATATTTTGTAAAATATGCATTATACTTGCATGACACCCTCTGTCACAGCTTTGGACATTCTCTACAACACAACCATGTAGTCTGCCTTCAAGCTTTTCAGTATTCTCCATCTCCAAAAATTTTCCCAGCATCAGGAGATGTTTACCAAGTAAAGCTTGCTTCAGGATTCTCTCTTTTTGTCTCTAAGCTGTGATCCAGGCAACTGGCTCCTCCCTTGATTACACCGTTCCCAAGATCAACATCCCCAGTTCTCCCAGTTTCTAGGAATAAAAATAAAAATCCCATTCTTCTGCTTTTTAGGACTGCCCAAATATCTCACTTGGCTTTCTCTTTTTTAGTTATCTTTTGGAATACCATTTCCCTCACCTGAATTTTTTCCATGTGTGCCCAGACACCTGTCTTGCTTTCCAAAGAAAATGCTATTATTTTTCTGAGGCTGAGGGCAATTGGACCATCAGTTAGGAAACCTGCAAGGCCCTGGAGCTTCACTGGCCATTGTAAGCACCATGGAAGAAGTGATAAGATCTGCGCTTGTGTCTCTATGCCAGCACCAGGACAGGAAACATGAAAGCAAAAACAATAAGATTCCAGCCCCAAACTGCACCCAGTGGTGTAGCCAGGAGCGGATACTTTGGGAAAAGCACCGTCTCTGTGTGGAGTAATGGACAGAGATGGAAAAGAAGAGGTGGGAAAGACAAGACTGGCTAAACTATGATGTTTCTTTGCTTTGCAGATTTTCATTATATGCTATAAAGTGAAGCAAACTACTGGCTTGCAAAGGGGGAATGGCATATAGTGGTGGACAGATAGCACAGCCTTCAACAGCAGGTTGGTCCCTCTGTCCATGTTGGGAACTTGGGGTCAGCACCTGGGTTAGGTCTCTCTCTTAGTATGGTTGGAAAGGTCCCGGGGGGACTGTTGCATTGCTGCTCCCAGCTTGAAGGGATTTCTTAGTGGATCTGAGAATGACCCATCCTGGGATGGGGACCTTCTCCTGACACTATGTCCAGACTGCTCCTGGCTTTTGATAGGAGGTTTGGGATGGACCAAGGACCGCACAGCAATCCCCTATTAGATACCCTCAGCAAAACACTACCCCTTCTCTCCTAGAGAGGAAATTGCAGCTTTTCTCAATGTTTTGCAGGTAGTTTCCTTCTGTTCTTCTCACTCTCCTAGGTTGAGCACAGCTTCCTTTGATAAATCCCTACATGGGAACCTATCACCAACACATAAGAATTTGTATTTTCATGAGACTTTCTGCCCAGAAAAGCTGGATGGCCATTGCTGCTGGAGCACTGCAGCAGCAAATCCTATTGATAATTTCTATGCTATTTTGAAAGCAGACTTTATCTAATAAAGTCACTCCAATGCATAAGCTATGCATTTGGGTTGAATTAATTTCAATGAATAGGTTTCTCTGCTTGACAAGAGTGTCAAAAAATGGTGGGGAGGGAATTCAGTAAAAACAACAAAACCAACCAACCAAATAAAAACCCAACCTGCCTCCAAAAAAAACTAAAAAAGCAAGTACACAAACAAAAGCCAAACCAATAAAAACAGTAGCAACTAATAATCCCAAACAAACAAAAGAAAAAAAAACAGAAAAAAAGTGCAAAAGACAACCCAAACCCTTCAAAAATCCCCAAAACCCAAGCAAAACTTGTCTGTCTGCATCAGTCTGTGTGCTGACACTCTCAGCAGTGCCTGGAGAGATGCATACAGGTAACTTCTGTCACTTAGGAAAGCTTTTTTGAGTTGAAATTTGCCATGTTTATATGTGAACCATGCTGTACCACCTGTGCTCTCATCTGAGTTATTTCACTAAATCAAGGCAAACCACTTTGATAAGCTTTTATTGATGTTGTACCTCTATCCTCTATCAACAATGTGCATGAGGCACAGGTTTTTCTGATTTCCCATTCAGGGTCTCATCTGTGCCTCCCAAGCTGGTCTTGATCCTTGTGGGAAGTGGATTTGCAAACCTTGAAATCCCCTGCAAAGAAATGATGATGAGGATGGGGCTGATTCTACCCCAGCATCTCATGGGATGGGTGTTTTGGGGTGGGCATGTGTCAGATGGAGGTATCATGTTTCTCCTCGCCTCCTGCTGTCATTGGGTAGAGCTGGAAAGGGTTTTTTTTGCAAACCCATTTGTGTTTGGTGTCACATCGATGAATCTCAAAGCCCTTGGCTTTCAGTGTCCCGCACCCTTCACCCATCTCCTTCAGGGAGGTGCCAAACCTGCAGAACAAAAATTACATTGCTCAAGAGGAGGAAATTTTCCTAGACTTGCAGAAAAGAAGGCGGGGGGTGGGGGGTGGGGGGAGGAGGTTCTCCTGCTCTTTTCCTGCACTGTCTCATCATACTGCACCATTTCACTGGTGGGTGTCCCGATCTGAGAGGAATTGGTGTGTGCAAAGTAAGATCTGTGAGGAGTGTTTGTGGAGCATGAGAAGCTGTGTTGCTGCATGGGTCTGATGGGAGCTGTAGGCTTACTGTGCTCTGCCATGGTACCCCAGCTTTTGGTCTGCAGAGCCTTGGGAGGGGGAATCTGAGACCATTGCATAGACTCCAATGTGTTGGAGAGATGGGTCAGGGCATGAACTGGGTCTGAAATGAAGCAAAGCTGCTTTTTATACAAACACGCTGAGGATACACTCACATTTTGGGGTTGAAGGGTGTGTCATCCACCCATCTCCACTCCTTCTGATGTGATCTTAATCCAATCCACACTGGTGCTGGGCTTTTGCCTGTAATAACCTTGATGTGCTCCTGGAAAATAGAGGTGACCAGTTGCTCCCAAAATCTCTCTGTGGATGGCTTTGTGGGGTGCAAAGCCATGGAGTAAATCTGATTTCCAAACTGATGAGACATGAATGTCCCCCATGATTTGAATGCTTTCCCAAATCCTCCTGCTGCTAGGCACTTTTTGCTTCTCTGCTGACCTAAAAAACAGGACTTTGGGGTCCTTTTCAAGCCTTCTCCCTGTTTACCCTTTCTTTCTTTTCCTGGAGCACCACCAGCTGAGAGTCTTGATTTTTGCAGCTTTTTGTGCCTTGAGTCCAGTTTCCCAATTCCTCAGAAAGCCAGTAGCATCTTTCCCCATGGAGCTGCCAGTCCTGGGGACACAGCTTGCAGTCAGCATAGGCTGCAAGAAAAGAAAAAGCCATGAGACACCCCAAAGGGTGGTCAAGGTCTTCCCCATCCATCAGCCGAAGGCATCCTGGCTCTTTTCCCATCCTTGAGTTTTTTCTCATCATTGTGGTTTTCCTGCTCAGCCACCAGAGAGAAGGATGATGACTACAGCTGGGTGACCACAAGGACAAAAGTGCCTGGTGAGGGGCAGGAAGGATGGTGAGGAACCTCCTCCCTTGGGCTGACCGTGCTTCCTTGCAGAGGAGGGATCAGCAAAAATTGCATGGAAAAGATAGTTCTTCCTGGCAACACTTTTCTTTGCCAAATAACCCTTGGTAGCCTTGCAGCCCCAAGGGCATCCTAGCAGGAAAATCCTTCCACAAACGTCTCATCTGAGCATTCCCATCTGAGGCAGGAGGAATGGAGGATTACCTGTGAGGCTCTCCACTTGGGCCTTGCAGAAATACCGCACCAGGGATGAAAACATGCATTGCTCCTTCTGGTTCCTTCCCTGGATCTCACCATCTGGCTGGGGAACTCTCATCACCACTGTCTGTGGAAAGCCCTGAAAAACTTGGAGTAGTGATTGGGGGTGAGAAGCTGCAGACATTTGGGGATAAAAGCCATGAACCCCACAAAACCAGGTTTCATTTTCTCGCACAGTTAATTAAACCAGCCTGAAAAACATGGCTTGTATCCTCCATCTTTGTTTAACAATAATGTTTTTAACTTAGAGCTTATTCTTAGTGGGTGATGTTCCATCTCTATGGGACAACCTTGTCCCCTCCAAAGGCTGAAATGCTTCAAATAAACCCTGATATCCCCTCTCAGGCTGCCTTCTGGGGTGTGAGATGTAGGTAAGAGCTGATTACTCACCCTGCACACTCAGCACCACCACCAGGACCAGCAGGATGAATTGTCCCAGCCCCCCGGCTTTGAGGAGGAGCCCATGCCACCATGGACAGGAGACAGGAGCTGAAAGAGGCCACATCTGCTTTAAAAAATGACACATGAAAAATCTGGGGTTTTACAGGAAAAAGAAAAAGCCCCTTTGTCAAGCTGGTGAGTTTGAGCAGAAGTTTACAACTTCTTTGCTTCCTCTAAAAAAGTAAATCACCACGGATAAGGTCTAGAGTGAGGGTATCACCCACTGGTGGTTTCTCAGGTGGTGGAGGGGCTGCAGGAACCTCAGGACCAGCTTTGGGCACCCAGTGACAGAGCTCGAGAGATCTGAAACCTTCTGAAATTGGCTTAATTTTAGAGCTCCCAGTAGAGCGGGGAGTCAGTGAGACACAGGTCTCCCCAGCCCTCATCTCCACCAGGATTCCATACAGGATCTCAGCAGCTTTCCTTCCCATTCAGATGTGTTGGCTTATGTTGGGCTTCTTGGACCCATTTTGCCTATAAAGTGAAGAGTCTCAGAAGCAAAAGTGTTCTACTGCCATATGTTTGTCAGCCTCCCCCATCCCCTTCTTGCTCTTTTTCCTCCTCTTTTCAAGCCAGAATCCCACCTTAGAAGACATTTAGCATATCTAATGTACTCCATAATCTTGAAAACCTCAACGTGGGGATGGAGAAGCAAGAAAACCCAAAAGTAAACAAACCCAAAAGTCTCCCCAAAGCTTGAAATAACAATTTTTCCCCAAAACAGGACTTACCATGATGTTTCTCAGCAGGAGAAGAACCATCTCCAAGATGCCTTAAATCAGCATAAACAATTTCCCCAGCCATGGCCACTCAGAAGGCAACAGGAGCAGCTGAAAAGTGACACTGTCCTTGGACAACCTTTTGCCTTGTGACCTATGTACTCATGCCTGCATCCGCCTCCAGGAAATGGTATTGACCAGGGCTTTTATCTGCTTTTTTTCCCTTTTTAGTACATATATATATATATATATATATATATATATATATATTCTATAGCCTTCCCTTGTAAATGGAAGGCAGTGAGGGAATGGGTGTCCTCCAGCCAGGAGGAGATGGTACATCTGGAGTAGGTGCCTGGAGGTGTAGAAACACCTATGGGTTTGATGGTTGTGTAAAACATCTGTGAAAGCATGCAGAAATTAATAAAAAATAATTTAATACAGCCTTTAAATAAGGTTTTTCAGGGTAAGGCTGAAGCATATCAGGGACTGGATCAGTGGGGCCACAGGCGGGTAATTAGATGAGGAGGAGGCAGGTGGCATTTGGTATTTCTTCTCCAAAATATGGACCGGGAGTAACTTGGGATGCGTTTTGCTCTGTGTGACTTTTTCTGCTCTTTTTGACACAATATTTGGCCTATGTTTTATCCTGTGTCAGAGAGATTCAATGTGGTCAGGGGTTGCTCAGCTCCTGTTCTCACTAGGAGGAGGTGAGAGTCTGGATTTTCTGCATGCTGTTACTGAATTTTACTGTTTTATTTTATTTCATTTTATTGCTTTATTTTATTTTGATTTTGAGTTTTCTCCTGCAAACCTGTCGCTCCCACTCCGATATGTCCTTTTACAAAACCATCCAGACTCATGTTTCCTACCACACTGGGGACACCTTGGCCACTGCATGGAACGATCACCAATTCCCAGCTTGTGCTGACCTTTTTCCCCTCCTTTTCTTCATTTTTTTAAGTGTTAACCCAGGTTTTGGCCAGTCCTGTAACACCCCCAAGCAGCACCCTTTTTGTAGAGCTAAAACCAATGTTTTTTTCCTGAGACACCCAAAAAACAGCAAGAAGAGAAGTAGAAATTTGCCCCAGTACCTGCCAGCAGCAAGAAATGGGATAAAAAGAGGGTAAACCCAGAGGTCCAAAGGTCCCAGAAGGAAAAGCATTGCACTGTTTTACTTTTTAATTAGTATTTTATTTTAATTTTCAATTTTTTATATATTTTTATTATCTCATGTTTATTTCTATTTTATTTTCCAACCACAGCCTCTATTACCCTCACAGAAAGTTTTTGTGGTCAGCTGCTGTCAGTCAGCTTTCATGCCCTCTGCAAAAGCAGCTGCTCCAGTGTGACCACTGATTACAAAAAACCCCTCAGAACTATAAAGTAAAGTAGGTTTTAGGGTAAAACCTTGCAGCTGGGTAGCTTAATTGCAAGAGTACTTATTTTTTATTTTTATTTAAAAAATGGTAAAATTGTCTGAAGGGGACTGCACTTCATCCCTGAAGTCCCTTCTGGGGTGCCTCAACATCCCAGGGCAGAGCAATCCCCAGCAGTGTTCACCAGAAAAAACAATTTTGGGTAACCTCTCCTCACCAGCTGAGAAAAAAAGCTGGAAATGCAGGAAAAGATGTTGGAGGGGATGCAGGGTGGAGCTGAAGGGGAACCCCTGGTTTGCTGGGTGGGCAGGCAGGTGGCCCTGGGGCAGGCAGCCTCATAACCCTGTAGGAGGTGCAGGAAAATCCCTGGGAAAAAAACTACAAAATAAACGAAAATAACTTTTTTTTCTTACTGTGCTTCTGTTTCTTTTCACTGAAGAAGGTTGAGCCTCAGCATCTGGCTTGTTCCCACCAGGTGAGGGGGCTTGGGGTGGGTGGGGGGACGGAGGGGAGGTGGTCTAAAGTTTTAATTTTGGGGACAGAGGGGAGGTGGTCTAAAGTTTTAATTTTGGGAAAGAATTTCAATTGCTTGGAGAAGTTTTAATTGCTGGAGAAAAGTTTAATTGGGGGAGAAAATTTTAATTGAGGAGAGAAAATTTGACTGTGGGGAGAAAACTTTAATTATAGGGAGAAATTTTTTTTTGTGGGCAGAAATTTCAATTAAGAGGGTTTTAATAGGGGGAGATTGTTTTAATTGGAAGGAGGAAACTTTAGTTTGAAGGACGAAACTTTAATTTTGGAGAGAAAATATTAACTGAGTGGAGAAGATATTAACTGGGGGAGAAAACTTTATTGGGGAGAAAGGTTTGAAGGGAGGAAACTTTAATTATGGGTAGAAAATTTTAATTGAAGATATTTCAATAGGGGAAGAAGATTTTAAATGAGAGAGAAAACTTTAATTGGGGGTGAAAGTTTGATTGTGGGGAGAAAACTTTAATTGCAGGAAGAAAAAATTAATTGAGGGGAGAAAAGTATTATTGAGGGGAGAAAACATTGGGGGAAGAAAACTTCAATGGAGGGAAGTTTGATTGGGGGAGAAAATTTTAATTGCAGGGAGTAGATTTTAATTGTGGGAGAAAACTTCAACTGGAGGAGAAAAGTTTCATTGCGGGGAAAAAGTTTTAAATATGGGAGAAAATTTTGAGTGCTGACAGCCTTTGTGGCACCTCTGACAGATGGAACTTTGCTTGGCAGGTGAAGCAGGAGCAGCTGTAGACGTGGAACCCCAAAAATGGAGGAAATGAGAGATTATTCCAGATTTTTGGGCACAGAAAGGAGCAAGAGGGCAGGTAACTGTAGGGCAATGAACTGAAGAATTGCTGGGTTTCTTTTTCTTTTTAATACTTCTGTAATTTGAGAACAAAGCCCAGATGAAGTAAGGTTGTAAGGGAGTGGGGAAAGCTTTTTCTAGCACTTCCCTGGAGGGAAAATTTTTGTCACTCAGCAGATGGAACATTTGCTCTAAACAGCCCCATTTCAGACACTGTGGGTTATTTTCATTTAGGATTAACCCTTCCTGAGGCACTCGAGTAACTGATTCTTTTGGGTATATTTTTTCCACAAATATTTCAATTTTCTGATTTATTTTGGATGAGAATAAAGAAATTTTTGAAGACCCTAACTGTTAAAAGGCCCCAGAAAGAAGTTTGGTCTTTAAATGCAACTTGGACACATCAGAAATATATTTATTAATTTCTTCTTTCCCTTCAACACTGCCCTCTTTCAGGTCTCCTGATTTTGCTCCCATCTCTATCATCCTCTTGGTCCACAATAACGTAAAAAAGTGGCTTTGGGAGTCTTTTCCATTATCTCAATCTATTCAACCAGGGACTAAGATTTTTGGGGATTTTTTTTTAATTTAGTACATTTGTTGATTTTTCTTATTTGTTGATTTTTTTGTTGATATTTTTCTTTTATATATATGTTTTTGTTAATTACCTGATATATTTGGTTTCTGACTTACTTTCTAATAACATTTTTCCAGGAGGAAGAGGGGAAAGGAGACTTTGTCCCATGAGATTTGGTTCATGTCATAGATGGGGACAAAAAGGAAAAAGCTTAAACCAAAAATGGAGGTAGTCCCACTGGGTGAAACCACTTAGATTTTTAGGTAAAACTGCTAGGAAACAGATTTTTCTTTGCTCAAAGTGAAGGGAAAGAGCATATTCTGGATCACAGGACCCAGAGATGGAGGACATCCATGACTTGGATAATTTTCAAGACTCAAAGTGTCTCAGTTAAGTTAGAGAAAAAAACTCCACTGAACTTTAACAAAGACGTAGAACCCAAAAATTAAAGCATGATTTTAATTATGGTGCATTTCAGGAGTTTCAGGCTGGAGCTGTGGAGGAGACTCCCCATAGAGTTCCCATTAAAAAAAAAAAAGAATTATTCCATGTGGAGAAGAATTTTTTTATATTTCTCACCCAAAATGACACCAAGTCCCCCTGGCATGGGGAAGAGACCAACCTGTCATCATCTGGGCATGACCTGGAACATGTTGCTCCCTTGAGAACCTTGCAGAGGCACTGAAGGTCTGTTCTCCTGCAGGTCACAGCCTGGAGATGAGGCCGGAGGCACGTGTTGCCTGCCAGGTGATGCTGGCAGCACTCTTCACAGCTCTGCTCGTCACAGCCATCACTTTTGCAGGTGAATGTCAAGGTTTAATATGAGGAGGAATGTCTCTGAGATATTTTGGGTTGTTGCATATGTGCCAGATCTACCTCCACTTCTGTGGAAGACAGAGCCCATCCAAGCTGCTGTCCTCTCCAGGAGAGGGACATTTCAGAGCAGCCTTTCTACAGAAGAGCAAACTCATCCCCTTGGTGTAGGAGCTGATGTTATCTAGAAATCCGTAGAAAATCAACAGGAAGAGCCATTTCATACACACAGCCAGCCACTCAAAAGTATGAGAGGAATGGTCCTAGAGGTGTTGGCATGAGTCCTACCAAGCTGAGAAGTCTCCAGGAATAGGAGAATTTCTTTTCTGTCATTTTCACTACATTTGTATTAATGATAGAAAGAAATACCCAAGGGCATATTTAGGGATAGGACTATTCTGAAATTCCTCTTAAAACTGTGGTTTTCTGAAGGCTAGCACCCTGTTTCTTTCTTTGAAGGTGCATCAGTCATGTTTCTTGGCCAACATCACAAGCTGGGCCATGATGTGAGCTTATTTTCTCCCACAGTTTCTCTTCGTATCTTAATTTTTTCCTTTAACTCAATGTTGAGGCAGATGCAAGGCCTTCAAAGACCATGGGGTGGAGGATGACCTCCCCACTCGAGAGAGGCAAGGGGAAGGTGCTTCTCCTTAACAGTGTTCTATTTTTTAATGACAGTGCAGGCTTTTCAGCCTCATCCCCAGCCCTACCTTCAGTGCCCCTTCGACTGGATCAGATATAGAGGTAAATGCTACCATTTTTCGGAGACTGAGGGGAACTGGACATCCAGCCAGAAAAACTGCTCAGCACTTGGTGCTTCCTTGGCTGTGCTGGACAGCATGGAGGACTTGGTAAGGAGACAAGAGGACACGCTTAGCATTAGGAAAAAAAAAAACCCAAGACAACATATTTGACACCTCATGGTTTCTTTGACTGGTCTTTCAGGATCTTCCTTGGAGATCTGGGGCAAGAACTTGGGGAAGAGGGTTTTCTTGAGGGTTGGTCATCATGGGTCTCTTCAAATTCCTCACCAAAGCCAACGGCTGCCAACTGTAGCTAGATGACACATTTTTTTAGCAGATTGAAAGGTTCAAGCCCCAAAGAAGCCCTAGAGAAGCACAAGCAACTGGTAAAATGGAGATTTTTGGCTGGAAGGAGGTAAAAACCTTTTTTTCTCTATTTTAGAGCTTTGTGATGAGATATAAAGGCATCTCAGAGCATTGGGTTGGCCTTTTGCGGAAAGATGAGAAGCAGCCATGGCAATGGGTGAACCACTCACTTTTATTGCACTTGTGAGTCTGTATTTTTCATCATTACATTGTTGGTTGATGTTTCCCCAGCTACAAAATGTGTATTTCTTCTGGCACTTGAGGTGCATCCAGAGGTAGTAAAGGGACAGTGATGTTTGGAAAGGGCAACGCTGCACCTTGTTTCTTGCCTTGACCTAAGATATGGGAGTGGTGTGTTTGGTGAGAAAATACTGAGATTTTTTTATTAGAAGTTCTTTTTTTTCTTGCAAAGCTTTGGATTTCTTATTAGAAATAATAATAAGTCAGCATCAGTGTTGGCATATTGATGCTGAATTATTTCTACTCCTATATAAGAAATATATATTGGTATTTTGGCATGTTGATGCCCACAAGGATGCCTGAGAACTGAAATGGGGGGAAACCTACGTGTGACTTTTCTCCTTTTTCCTGCTGAGCCTGTCTCAGGGGGATTGTCTCCTCTGTCCTTCCAGGTTTCAAATCCGTGGTGGTGGGCTCTGCGCTTACCTGGATGACAAGGGGCTCAGCTCCTCCCGCTGCGGCACTGAGAGGAGCTGGATTTGTAATAAACCTGAGCTGCAGAGCTCAGGCAAGGGCAATGGGATGAGATGGGCTAAAAACCTCTGTGTCAGCTCCTTGGGTGCTGCAGGGAGGTCTTCTCACACCCAGATACCTGCTGCACCATGAAAGAAGACCTCAAAAAGGCTTCCAATCCCCTGGGTGAGGGGTTCTTGAGGGTACCAGGGGACCAACAAAGTGTTGGTGGGAAAGGGCAACCTTTGGAGGCCCATGTAGGGCAGTCCTATGGGTTCCTGGGGGCTAGGGCAGCCTTAGGGGGTCTTTTTAGGTCTAGGGCAATTTGGTGAGAGGTCAAATGCAGACATCTCCTGCTTGTTAGAAAAAAAATTTATTATATTTGGAGCACATTTATATCAATTGCATGTTAATTGCTTAGAAATACATTCCAAGCATGGAAAGAGTGGGGGAAGTGAGTGCGAGCACATCCTTGTGATGACAAAATCAGTTTTAAAATGAGGCAGCAGCTGGCATTAATGCAAAGCCTACAAAAATTAAGATTTTTAATCTACATTGGAAGCCTGGCCAGTGATGGGCATTGAGGTCAGTAAAGGAATTATCAGAGAAGGCTATCTGGGAAAAAAAGTCAAGTTTTCAGGTCAAAACCAGTTCAGTGAATCCCAGCTCATGTTAGGAAGCTTTGAATGAATTTAATGACAGTGGCTTTGAGATGAGACCAACTGTGCTGAGCTCAGACTCAAAATCCCTGGACATAACCCAAAATAAAGACATCTAAGATGAAGGTAGGACCATGAGTTGAGGTGGAAATGACTCCAAGACCTGGAATAGAAGACTTGAAGAGCATCAAGGAGCATTTCAACCACCATGGTGCAACCAGCTTTGGAAGGATCTCGTCAGTGCATCAGCCCTTGGGGGACAGTTTGATGGTTGAGAGGAGGACACAGAAGTAGGGGAAGACCTTCTCCCCACTGAAGGAAGCTACAGGGAAGGTGAAGATGCACTGGCGGCTGCCAATGGCATAGAAGGAGACCTGTCCCACCTCGTAGTCCAGGTAGACTCCAATCTCCCCATTAAGGAGCGGGATGGAGGTGTTGGATGGAGCTGTGAGGGCAACACAGAGCTCATCATACTTCTGCAAGCCCCAAATCTCAGTGCTGGGCTTGAAGAGGACCCGGCCTTTCCTCTGAACCGACTCACGGGCCACCCCCACAGCCCAGAAGCGCCCATTGGCCTCTACCTCCCAGTAGTGGCGGCCCGAGGTGAAGCCCTCGCTGCCCAGCATGCACGGATCTGTGTCAAACCGGCCGGGACCCTCCGGCCACCGGCGCTGAGGCCTGCCCCAGGTGGCCTCCTTGAGGTCCTCGGAGAGGATCACCTCAGGACCCACTGTGGCTGGATCCAGGGTCACATCCACTGAAAAGCAAAACAGAGGAGGGATCAGAAGCCACATTTAAGTGTAGAGGAGGCACCCAAAAACCTGACCCAAAAGTCACTGCTGACTTTTCAAGGAGAAAGGGAGAGAAGGGTTGAGGTTGGAGATGGAGGAGTGAAGAGGTGGAGGTTGGAGATGGAGGTTATCCAGCTGAGGCTGGAGATAGAGAAGTCAAGAAAGGGAGGCTCTCCAGTTGAGGTTGTAGAAGGAAGAGACAAAATATGGATGCTGGAGATGGAGGATCTCTGGGCCAGGTTGGAGATGGAGGAGTCAAGACATGGAGGTTGGAGATGGAGAACCCAGGGAGACAGAAGGTGGAGCTGGAGAATCTCCAACTCATTAGACATCTCATTTGATGCAGCCCAGAAAACACCAGGAATTAGTACTTTGCTCCTGCTTTGATTACCTTCAAACTGTTTGGCAGTGTGGTAGTCCAGGGCAAGGTCCAGTGTGCATGGCCGTGGTTTGAGGAAGAAAGCCATTATGCCTGCAGTGTCCTCCCCTTCTGGCTGGAGGCAAGAGAAAGATAAAGAAAGAAAAAAAGAATAAAGTCAAATTATTATCCTACGAACAGGCACATATCAGCTTTCTGCCCATTTTTATGTCAGGAAATGGGCTCAACCACCACATTTAATCAAAATACTTCAAGAAAATGCCAATTTTTTTCACTAACAGTTGTAACAGAGCTTGGTTCATTTATGGAAAGACCCATGGAGATAGGTTAAATCAATTAATTTCCCAATGACTATGAAGGGAACGTGAGGAGCACATTTGGATGGACCCATCTACCTTGTAGATATTATTATAACCCAAAACCCCATTTCTGTTTTCTGTTTCTTCATGTGGTGGCTCAGGGCTGAACCTATCTTAAATACATCTCTGCCTCCACCATTCATCAACCAAATCTGACAAGGTTTGTTTGAGCGAGGAAACTTCTTAAAATTGAGATAAGCCACGTCTACCTATCACGTCCAGAGAAATCCTCTGAGGGGGGAGAAATTTCCTGCTGGCCCCCAAGAAAATGTGTGAAGGGGAGATAAGAGCTGGCACTGAAGGGCCTAAAATCCATCCTCCAGAACCCAGTGTGGGGCTTTGTATGCAAAGGGGCCTGCAAATGAGTAATAAAGCCCAAGAAGAGTTGAATAAACCACACTGTAATGGTTGAAAATGAAAAGGTTGTTTCATTTCCTTTGCTGTTTGTTTCCTCAGCAAATCTGCAGAAAGGGGGATTAAAGCAGCAGGGGGATGAGTAAAAGTGGGGAAAAGGTAAGAAAATCACCCTTAAATAAAGATAAAAACAGGGGCCATCCTGTTTCTCACCCAGATTTCCCCAGATGGATTATTACAAGCAAATATCACCATGACCCTCCACTGCAAAACATCATGAAATCTGAAACAAAGACCCGGAGGTCAAAGCAAGGGTAAATCCACTTTTCTTCCTGTGTTAACGGGATGGCAAGAAAGCTCAAAATCCCCTTTTTTCCCAATAAGACAGCAGGTTGATGTAACCACCTACCGGCACTGCAAGTTCCCCCCTCTCTTAAACCTCTTTGGTGTTTTCCTTGGTGTCACTGGTGCTGCTTTTGGGTTGCTTTTCCTCCACTGGCTGCTTCTCCACTGGGTTTGTTTCCACTTGGAATTCTTTTCTACCCTCTCTGGCACAGGCTCAGCCAAAGCTCTGTCCTGTCTCTGCCTCTGCCAGGTTTTATTGCCAAGAAGGGAGGAGTCCTCCTATCTCTCACCTCCAGATGGGGCCATGACGTGCTTGGACACCTCTTGCACCCTCTGATTGCACCTTTTTCCCCCATTTCAGGGCCGTTTACTTTCTGGATGCAGGCGCTGCAGAGGGAAAGGAGGAAAATTAAGACAGTGCAAAAAAAAAATGCATTATTGCACGTCACCACTAGGAAGAAATTGGTTACATTTTGCCCCCTAGTGGCCCAAATCTGAGTGTGACCCCTTCTGCACAATGGAGCTGAACAAGGCAAAGCAGGGACAAGGCTGAGAGCAGCTTCCAGGTGAGGGATGAGACAGCAATGCCTAGAAATGAGACAATCTGGGAGAAATAAAACATCTTTAAAGACAGCTGTGGGTGAGGAAATTGATTTTCCCACTGCGGCAGGTTGTGCTGGGAGCTGAGCGCAGGAGCACCCAAGGGCAGTTCAAGGGCAGGCAGCTTCACCCATTGCCACTGCCAACCCTCAGCATTCCCTTCTCCTCACTGGAAGGGCAGTGAGGCCACAGCAGTGGCACAAAACCTGCATGCTGAGACCAGCCACAACTTCCTCTCTCGGTGCTGAAGAGACAAAACCCCTCGGGGTTGCATGGCTGCTGGAGGCAATGGGTGAACCGCCACAGACTGTGGTCATGAAGATTTTTGAGGGGCCTGCAGAGACCTGCGAGATGAGATCAGCCTCCTAAGACTTATCAGGCTTTGCTCCCTCCCTTCCCTCCCCTTTTCTCCCTTTCCCCCTCCTTCCCTGAAAAAAGATGCAAAATGAAAATATTTTAATTTCTTGGTGGGAAAGCAAAGCTCCAGTGCCTGGTTCTTGTCATGGGAGAAACATAAAGCAAGTTGATCCCTGCTTTCCAGGGAAGGGAGCACAGGGGCTTTTTTTGAAGATTATTAGCTTTCCTCCCCCAAATAATTTAAGATTTTAAAGGCGGAATTATACAAATGATCTGGGCTGATCACTTACACTTTTTTTATAATAATTTTTTACTTTTTTTATATTCAGGAGAAAATCCAGTCCCACATACAATCTCTAAGGAAGGTGTTGGCAGAGTTTCTAGGCTGGAGAGCGAGCAGAGAAGTGGCACTGGGGCTACCTGCTACAGGGGGCCTCTTGGTGTTTTGGCAACCCAAATGTGTATTTATTTTTCCCCCAAGCCCTGTGGAAGAAACATACAGGGAGTACCCATACATCCATGAGGTATCCCAGTGCCCTGCAAAGCCTCATACCCGGCTAGAGTGGTTGGTGCAGATCCTTGGCAGGTTTGACCACCTCCATGTGCAGGTGCTTATTATCCACATTTTAAATCACTGCATTTTCATGACATTGCTCATTATCATCCAAGACTGCATCCTAAAGGGAAATTTGTTAATATGGAATTAACCCTCCCCCATGCTTTCCAGGGCCTGATGTGGTTTTGGACAGAATATAAACAGGAATGACAACAGTGAAGGAGAAAGAAGGAAAACCATGGGCTGAAGTTCTTAATTATGCTGCAGTTGCTAATTAGCCACATCCTTAGCCCCAGTGTTACAGCCCCCCAGCTCCAGCCACAGTGGTTTTGTCCTTTAGCTTGAAATGGAAAATTCAGCTCTGGGCTTACACAGGGGTTTTCTGTCTCCTCCAGGAGACGAGCAAGGCTGAGTGGCTTGGCATCAAGGCCGAGTTCAAGCGGCTGTGCCAGCTGCTGGTGGAGTAGGAGTGGGTTATGCTGGGGTGGCTGGCAGAGCTGAACGATGCCTTCACAGCTGCCCAGGCCAAAAAATCCTCGTGAGTGGCTGAGGGGATCACACAGCTCCATGGGCTCATTTGGCAGCTGGAGGCCAAGCACTTGCCCCAGGTGAGAGCCCTCCTTACCCAGAAGCCCTTCCAAAGTGCTGCCTATGAGATCCTGACTACATCCCCCACCCCTTTATCCCCCCTTTTTATTTTTAGGATGTTGGGGTCATCCCAAGCAGGTATGTGGAAACTGCTCAATTCCCCCCCTTGTCACCCCACCTGTGGAGAGGGGCTCAAATATCCCTCGCGTGATATCTATCCCTGTCATTTATCTTCCCACTTGGAGTGAAATGAAGCTTCACTTCCCTTATGGGCTCCCCACGGAGCTTGAAAAGAGCCTGAGCTTCTGCTGCTGCTCTGCAGGAGGCCCTGGAGGAGTTCAGAGGTGTTTGGGGAGAATTCTCCTATTTCAGGAGAATTTGGAGGCATTTGGGGAGGAATGCAGAGATATTTGGGATAATTCAGTTATTTTTGTCATAACTCAGAGATATTTGATGGGAACTCAGAATTATTTTGGAAGGAATTCAGTTGTATTTTGGGATAATTCAGTTATCTGGGGAGAAGCCAGGAGGAAGAGGAGGTTGTCCAAGGGAAGGCCAGCAGGAGGCTCAGCACCCACTCACTGCTCATGTCCTTCCCTCCTCCCAGGCATGGGTGCCTGCATGAGTCTCCCTGCAGCGAAGGCAACCCTGGAGCCTGGCATGGCTCCTCTCCCACAGCTCTTGGCAGACAGAAAAAGCATGTGGTGGGATGAGGAGGAGAAGCAGGATGAGGCTGGAGAAGCCCAGCGAGGCCAGGAGCCAGCTGGCACCCAACAGGGGGTCACCGCCGGGAGATGCAGGACACAGATGCAGTAGCTGGACTCTGAAAGATGCTGCCACAGCCCAGAGCCCCGGGTGCTGCCTGTGTTCCCCGGGACACAAATGGTTTCCTGTCGAGCTTCCCTCCCAGCTCAGATCTTGCCACAGAACAAGATCTGTTCTGCCCCAAATTTACTGCCAGCAGTTACTCTGCTGCTTTAACGAGCAAGTGGTCTTGCGCTGCTGCTCAACATGAAGGCCATGAAATAAAAAAATAGGAAAAAAAGAATCCAAAATTTTTTTTATGAGTGCGTGCATAGGATAGATATTACGGCATTTATTGCTTCCGCGGGCTAGGGAGACGGCAGCAGGATACACAGGTCCAGGTCCTTCGGTGCCCAGTTGCAGACCTGTCCCGGTGCCTAAGAGCTCGGGGACTTGGCTGAGAACGCCATGCCCCGCTCCTCCCCGCCGCTGGAAGCCACTTTCCCGGCTCTGTCTGTCGCCTCTCAGCCCCGGCGCGGTGCCCTGGGAGTCCCCGCTCGTCGAGCAGGGGGTGTGCGGGACGGGGAGGATCGATCCGAGCCGCGCCTCGCCCGCCCCTCGGTGCCCCCGCCCCTTTTTAGATGCGCGGCACTGGCCACTCCCCGCTGCGGCTCTTTAGTTCTATTTACTTTATTCTGTTCCATATATTCTATTCACGCTTCGCCCTCTTCTCGGTGCAGCCCTTCTGGCGACACCTGAGAGCCGTGCCGCGATGCAGGTCCTTCAGTGACACGAGGCGACAGTCACTCCCTGGCGCGGCTCTTAGAGACTCGGGTGAGCAGCCACCCCTCGCAGCCCCGCCACCACCGCCTGCGCGCCTGCCCCACGGCGGCTTTCCTGCGGCATCGTTCGGCTGGGCTTCCATCCACCAGGAAAAAAAAAACCACTGCTAAACCGGTACAAATTACCCCAGAAAGCAAAGCGATTGCAATGCATATGGGCACCGAGGCGCTGCAGCTCCAAGAGCTGTTTTATTGGCTTCCCCACTCCCCTTCCGACCAAGAAACCTTAAGTAAGGTGGAAACAGCGGTTTGCTTTTACGTACATGCATAGAGATAGCAAAAATGTACAAAATAACAATTTCTGGGGAAAATATATCTATCACATCTCTGGTTTTTCCTCCTGCTGCAGAAGCCTCGTGTAGGCTGAGATTCCTCTTTAAAAAGTACAGTAAGTACCTGAAATAATTAAGAATTAATTAAGCATGAAGTTGGTCTGCCGTTAACTAATTTTTCAGGCATTCTCTAGAGAAAAAGCATACTTAAAAAAAAAAAAAAAAAAAAAAAAAAAAAAAAAACCCACGATTTTAGGGTGTTTCTTCCTTTCTGCCCTGAGATATCAAACTTTGCATTTGGTCTCGGTTCCTCCCGTTTCATCCTGTCCCTTTCTATCGTGTTCTGCACCTCAAAGTGTGTTTTATCAGCCTTATTCATAACTGATTAATACTTTAAAAATTATTTTTACGAGGGTGTTATTTTTATAATTCTGTACTAACATTTGCAATTACAGTTAAACACATCTAATTATATTTTTATCTATATTACATAAAATACACTGAAACAGTTAACACTTTTATGATAGTTAAAATAAATATATAAAAATTATATTTATATTATGCTAGATTATATATATTTAACATACTTTTATTATTTTATAGAAGTGAAGCTTCCTGCTCCAAGACCCTCGTTTGGTTCAGTTTCCGAATTCATTTCATTGCAAAACTTCATTAACATTACGCCCTCCTGGAATTTCTGCTCTAACACCTCCTCCCCCTACAGATCCTGAACCTAGTTTTTTTACTTTTCCCCCTTTGCTTCTTATTTTTCCCATCTAATTTGGGTGCTGAGCAACAAGGCTCGGTTTTTATTTCACCTTAACACTCCCCCGCCCTGCCCCGCCCCTCGTTCCCCAGCTGATATCCACGTGAGCTCCAGGGACCTGCTTTAATCCCTGTTTTCTACAGCCACCCTCTGGCCGCACTTTGCTTCCCCCGCTGCAGCCGGAGTGGCAAAAATTTGCCTTGTAAATAATTCATGCCTCCTAACGCCTCCCTCTCCGCCCCCGCTGTCGCTGCCTGTGTTCACTTCTGTCCTTAAATCCTTGCTGGCCTTGCCCTTGGAGGCGGTTTCGTCACTGGGGCAGTGGGAAAATCGGACCAGCCCTACGTAGCTTCTGCCCGGCAGGTCCCGGATGCCGACACCGGGGTCCCGCCCTGTCGCCGCTTCCAGGAAAACCCTGGCCAGGCCCCTTTATGTGCGCACTTCCCGGGGTGCGCTGTAAGAGCAACCATGGCTGCGGGAAATGCCATCAGATATCTCCAGGAGGAAACCACCTGCGCTGTCTGCCTGGACTTCTTCCACGACCCTGTCATGATCCTCAGCTGCGGCCACAATTTTTGCCGCCGCTGTCTCGGCTGTTGCTCGGTGGATGCCTCCGGGCGCGCTTCCTGCCCGCAGTGCCGCATCCCTTTCCCGCATGGCGGCTTCCGTCCCAACCGGCAGCTGGCCAACGTGGTGGGTGCCGTCCGGGAGCTGGACACGCCGCCGGCGCAGGAGCTTTGCCGGAAGCACCAACAACCCCTGACTCTTTTTAGTCACCGGGATGGAATTCTCGTCTGCGCTGCGTGCGCTGAGCATCGCGCTGAGCCCGCCGTGCCCCTCGAAGAAGCCGCTCGCTGGTACAGGGTGAGCGAATGCCCGTTTCAGACGCTTGTCTTCGTGCCTGAGAGACGCTAAAACTCCAGTTTCCCTTAAAACTCTGCCCCCAAAATACGTATTTTGAGATGGGGCAAAGCTTTCCCCATCTTTCCAGGAGGAAAAAAAAAAATTACTATGAGCATCCAAAAGTCAAAAGTGAGCTGAAATGCTGCGATTTGCTGAGGGATAAGTATGAAACAGGGCAGGAGTGTGGCAGCTTTGGGACTAAAACTGCATATTGGTGAATTCAAGCTGCTACTGTCACCCAGTGCCTTTGCTGTGGAGGATTCCTGTTCTGCTTCTGGGTGTGGAGGAGAAATGGGGGTCCCCAAGGGGGTTTGGACCTGGCTGGGTGTGCAAGGATGGGGGAAAAGGGGAATGGGAACTGAAGGGTGGTGGAAACTTTTTTACAGGAGAATTTGGAGAGATAGGATTTCCCAGCCTGGCTGGGAGGCCTATAATGTCCATTTATCAGTATATATTTACATATTTCTACAGATGAGGTGAGACTATCCATAGAGCATAACTATAAAATTAATTATAACATGGATATGCAGTGCAGCTGGAGAGGAGGATGAGGAATGGGCCACCTGCTTTGGCCATATTGCAAATGCTTTAGGGGTCCCAGCCCCACCTTTTCCTCCTCCTCCAGGAGCCCAAACCCCTTTTTCCCTTTTGCAGAAGCAGTTTGAAGATTCTCTAAGAAGCCTGCAGGAGGAATATGAGCAACGTGCCAATCTCAGTGAGTTAGTGAAGGAGACAAGACAAGAGATGCTGGTAAGTGCTGCTGCAGTTCAGGTGCACTGTGGGGGCAAACTGCTTCATTCTCCACTCCAGCAGCATCCTGATTCTCCTTCATCCCCTAGACTCGAGTCAGTTCTGAGAAGCAGAAGCTACTGGTGATGACAGAAGACCTCCGGCGGGTTCTGAGTGAGCAGGAATCATGTTTCCTTGCCCGGTTCCGTCGCCTGTGCTGGAGACTGGAGGAACAGCAATGTGGTGAAGCTGCCAGGATAACCTGGATCCAGCAACACTGTGCTGAGCTCCAGGCCAAGTGTCAGCAACCGGATGTTGATCTGCTACGGGTGAGCCAAAACTTTCCCCACAAATCCCTCTGTTCCCCCACTCCACCTTGGCTTTTATTCCCAGGAAAACAGTCCTAAGCATATCTCTCCCTTCCTCTCCAGGATGCCCAAACCACCCTGAGCAGGTACCGGGGCCAAAAACCATCACCAGGAACACCAGTTGTGGGCCAAAATGCTCAATTTCTGGGATCTCCTCCTCACCCTGCATTCTTTTCCTCTGAGATTTTTGCTTTTGAGGTGGAGGGGGTTGGTGGTTAATCCAGAAGTTGGTGAAGATGGGGGAATCTGCCATCACATCTTGCAGAAGCTGGACCCTTGCCAAGGGAAATAAAGATGTCCCTGGGGTTTTCCAGTGGTGGAGAAGGAAATTTAGGGATTTCTTGGCATTAAACACGCCGATTTTCCCCCCTTGAGGTGCACAGAGAAGAAGGTGCAGCCGATGCTGCTGTCGTTGCCAGAGCTGGAAGCAGAGCTTGAGGATGTTACCTGGAAAACCAACATGCTCGCAGAGGCAGTGACACAGTTTAAAGGTGGTTGTAGGGGAAAAATTGGCAAAAAAGGGGATTTGTGAAGCAGAAATGGGAACCTAGAGTGGGACTGGGAGGAAAGAGACCCCCCAGGGCTGGCAAATTTGGTTGGACAGGGAACGCATCACTTTAAATTCTCCATTAATTAAAAGAAAATCAGGGATTCATTCTCTTTATAGCAACCTTAAGGCATAGGAAACTGCAGGTGGGAGATGCAGAGGGCTCTTGGTGGTTAATTGGCACCCAAGTTAGGACATTATTATGTGTGGAGGCGGCTGATGCTCTGAATGAAGGGGGTTATGTCTCCCACCTCTGATGGTCTTGCCCTCTCCTTGCTGCAGGGAATGGGTGGATGTGGGGCAGCCCCAGGGCCAGGACCAGAGGTAAAAATCTCTGGGGTCATCTTCTATTTGCAGACAGCTTGGGCTCTTCACTGGAGGAAGACTCAGGGGGATATCGGAGAGGTGAGTCAGGCTTCAAGGCTGATGCTCAGATCCAGCATTCAGAACTGGGGCTCAGCTGCAGAACCTGGAGCTGATGTTCTGGTGTGATTTTTGAAGCTAATACCCCAATGCATAGACCCCCACTAACATCTCTCTTGCCTCCAGCAACTGTGACCCTGGATCCAGCCACAGCTCACCCCCAAATCCTGGTGTCAGCAGATGGCCGGACCGCACGCCGCCGGGAATCACCCCCAGCTCCTCTTCCCTCAGGAAAGGAGCGTTTTGAGTCTCTCTGCTGTGTTTTGGGTCAGCAGGGCTTTGTGGGGGGCCGGCACTGCTGGGCAGTGGAGGTTCGTCATGGTCCTGACTGGGCGCTGGGGGTGGCTCGGGAATTTGTGTCTCGTAAGGGCTGCTTTGGTCTCAGCCCTGAACGTGGAGTTTGGGCTGTGGGCCAGTGGTTGGGGCAGCTGCAGGCTCTCACCTGGCCCAGCCCCACATGTCTGCGCCACAGGTACACACTCCGACGCATTGAGGTGGCTCTGGATTACGCTGGTGGGCGGGTGGCTTTCCGTGATGCTGACAGCCAGACTGAAACCTTTGTCTTTCCCCCCGCCTCTTTTGCTGGTGAGTGACTCCGGCCCCTGCTCTGGCTGGGTGAGGGGCCAGCTCTGCTCACTTTCTGCCCCTGAATCCCTCCAAAACCGACCATGAACCTCCCAAGCACAGACACTTCCACCACCCCAGCAAACCCTCCACTCAATAAATGACCCCAACTCCCCCCCCAGACCCATTTAATTTTCCTTATAACATGTAATTTAACAATATTAATCACATTTCACTCTCTTGCTCCTCAGTGGGAGAACAGAGATATTTTTATTTCCCCAGCTGTTTGTCAATGGAAACATAGCCTAGAAAAAGGGAGAACCTCCCTAAAAAATTTTGAAAACTCACTTTGAGGCAGAAAATGGGCTTTGCTTCTGCATGGCTCGTAATAAGATTTTGCAAGTGGAAACATTTCTGCTTAGGCTTTGCAGAGAATATAGGGGAAATGGGATAAAACCACCTTTTGTGCCTGCTGGGATCACTGTGGCTCATGGTTTTGTCCCTGCCACAACATGAGGAGGGAGAGAGGCCACAGACAGGATTTTATCCCGTATTGCACCACCTACAAGTTGAATAGAAGGGGAAAAAATAAACTTTTATCTTGAAGCAGCAGAAAGCTGTTATTAGGGTTAAACCATGTAATAGCTGTTATCAGCAAGCACAGGCAGGACTGGGCAGGTCTCTGCCTCTTACAGCCTCAGTCACTCCACCTTTACTGCCAGGCTTGCCTCCCCATCCACAGCCATACTTGACATCAAACTGAGGAAGGGGAGAAAACACAAGGAAAGGCAGCAGGGAAGGCAGCTGCTTTTATCTTCAGGGCCCTAATTTTAAATAACTGCCTTGACAAACTGACAGGTCACTGCTAAACCCAAATTACAGTCCTGGTCAGTTGTATAATTAGTTTTTTCCCTGTTTGGTTCATGGTGAGGTTGGTCCTGGATGCTGTCTTCCTTAAAAGACAAGGCCCAGCGATGTGTAAATACAAGTACTTCTTTGCAGCATCCTGCTCTAAAAGGTGAGCTTCCAACACTCCATTTTATCCACTTTTCATCTGAACAGCTTTACTGATATTTAATTTGAAAGTACGTAGAAAAAACCCAAAACATAAACAACAAAAAATTCTGCCTTTCTGCATAGCTCAGCAGGTCCAGAGATGGCTCTCCAGTGTGGGAGTGTGTGGGGGTTTGGAGGTGGGCAGAATCAGCCTCTTTTCACCCAAAGGCAGCTCACCAGCATCCCAACAGCAGTTCCAGTGGCAGATCCTTGGCAGGGAGGGCGCACAGCCCCCCCTCTGAGCAGAGCCAGCAGATGTGCCTCACAGCCCTCCCACTGCTGCCACTGCAGTCCCTGAAACCCTCCCAAGTGACAGAGACACCTCGTTCCAGCCCATGAAAAGAGACTTTGGGGATTAGCTGAAGGGGTTTTTTCTCCACAGGAGTCAAAGGTTTTTCCACAAGGCTGGAGCCCAGGGCAGGAGGCAGATGTGTTTGGCTTGTTTTGGAGGTTGAGAACAAGCGTTCTTGGGTTTTTTTTTTCATCTGTCGCCTCCTGCTTCTACCCATGCTGCCCCTCTCCCACTAACTCCCTTGGAACCAGACCGGAGTTGGAACCTGCCCACGAGGGAAGCGTGGCAGGCATGCAGGAGCAAACCTGAGTGAGGACTGCAGGTTCTCCATGAGGGTGGGGACATGAAACCTCCCCTACTCCTCACTGGAGTCTATTTTAACTGAATAAAAAAGGTGGAATTGTGGAGATGGGTTTACAACTACTCAGGTTAATAATTGGCAGGTTTTGGCAGGTGCTTATAAAAATGGGACTTAAAAGGCACTAAAATCAGCAGCTCATAATACCTAGAGGACACCAATTAGTGTAAATTTTGCCCCAAAATACAGCTCCAGAGCAAACCAGGGAGATGTCAGGGTTTTTAATCCTCTGCTTTTGGGGCCGTTTGCTCCATTTTGGACCTTTTCCCCAAAGGAGCAGCCAGCGTGCTGGGAAACGGTGATTTTCCACCTTGAAGTGGCTCTCACAGGGAAGAAATTTCCAAATTAGGGAGCAACTGATTAAGAAAAGGTGAGCAGGGCTGCCTCAAAGAGAAAGTGCTGTTAAACTGCCATCCCCTTTGTTTTTGAGAAAACTGTCACTTTCTAAGTGAAAATAAGACGTAGAGATGGGCAGGAAACAGCTCCAAAAGTGTCCCTAAACCCCCCCAGAATTAACCCAAACCTGCTTGGGAGGGAGGCATAAATTTGTCCAAGTGTCACCAGGTTGCCCAGTTTTCCCCTCACTGGCCTTTTCCCCTCTTAACCAATTTATTGGGATAAAATGTCATTGTTTCGTTTCATCTCCATTTCATAACTTCATCTGCTCAGAAAAGAGGTTTTTCTCCCCAAAATGAAGCCAAACCAGACATTTCTCCCCCCACAATTTCCCTCATTGTCCAAAATACCCCCCAAAAAGCCACATCGGATGTTTTATTTAAGCTAAAAAGAGCATTTTTTAACAACTGAATATAGAGGATGAGACCCTGTAGTGCATTATAGGGCCTGGGCAGCATGAATGAAGCTGGTAGCTGGGCTGAGCAAAAGCAGTCTGAATTGTGGGTGATTGTTAGGGGGTTTTGCCATTTATTCTGTAAAATAATTTCTCGGACACTCTTTAGACCTGAATTTCCCCCACAGCAGCACTGGAGATGTGGTGAAGTAGCACACCAAATCCTCTACATGAAAACACATTAAACCCCAGAAAACTGAAAAAAGGACAAATTGTGATAGACTGAACTTTGAATAAACAAACTTGTTAAGCTTGGCAACTTGTGTCCCTCATAACCTAGGATTGATGTCTTATAGTGGTTTTGAGCCAGATAATGGAGAAGGCTGATAAAAAGCAGCATCCTGTGGAGGTGTGGTAATGTTTTTTATCATGACAATTTCCTCCTTTCCTATGAGGCCCAACTGGCACCACTACACAGTCGTGAGAAGCAGGGCCAAACAGCAGTCACATCATTAGAATGGGCCATAAACCATTGCTGTCCCCCAAACTGACTTGGAGAAGTTAGCAGCATGGAAGGGTGCTGTGGGGAAGGGTGAGGATTCAGTGATGGCAGGAGCAGGAGAGCATGGGGGGCACCCCCCAGGCTGGGTAGTGTGGGAGGACTGGGGGTGTGTGCCCGGGGAAAGGACTAGGGCCAGGGCATGTTAATGAGCCAGGTGGAGGGTCTGGGCCTGCCCCCCAAACCCATGGGATGGGGCGGGGGGGGGAAGAGGTGGAATCCCTGGGTTGCTGGTTTCCCTACACGGGTGCTGGTGCAACAGGCTCAGGGTGCACCTGCAGTGGAATTGCTCTTTGGCAGGGCTGGGGTGGGTGGCACTGCGTGACTCGAGTCGGGGGGAGCCCAAGCAGCACTGCCCTCTCTCCCACCCCAGACTCAGGGGGGCTTTGACATCATCATCAAGCCCTGGGAATGCAGTGAACGGGTGGGACCCCAGCAGGGGGTACTCAGAGCCCCAGGATTCCCATGGAAGGTGCAGCAGTGACCCCACTGTCACTGCTGTCCTCACCATCCCTGCCATCTGCTCTGTCCATGATGTCTCTCCCCTCTGTCCCCACAGGTGACTGCGACCATGCAGCAGGTACAGGAGTTCCTACACCACTCATCCCTCACAGGTCCTCAAAGTGCCAGTGTCATATTGTGTGTCACATCCTCATGTGTGTCACTTTCTCCGGTCCTCTGGGGTCCCTCAGCCACGTCCTGTGGTGCTACTCCTAGGGTGGGGACCTTCTGACGGGTAGGGACTGCCAGGGGTATGGGAACAGTCAGGGATGGGGATATCTGGGGGGCTGATCTGTGAAGATAAAGACACCTGGGGTGGGTTGGGGACAATTACGGGACAGGGTGGATAGGGACATACATAGCGACAAGGACCTCTAGGGTCTGGCTGGTGACCCAGGGAGGTCAGGGACTCCCAAAAGCACTCAGACGACACACAGGACTGCAGGTCAGGGAGGGGTGACCTGCCCATGTTGCAGTGGCCCCATCCCCAGCTCCATAACCCTCTGCTTCCACTGTACATGTTTTCTGGGTCAGGGCCAGGGTCAGGGTCAGGGCTTACCATCCTCATATCTCTGTCCTCAACAGTCAGTCCAGGGGAAGAATGAACCTTGTGCTGGCACCTATGTTTAACAGGCAGTGGTTGATGTTTTCATAAAATCATGGTGCTGAGAAGCTGGAAGACATTGGCAGTTTAAAGGATGTTCAAGCTCACTGTAGAGACCAGATTCACACTGCATTCATGCTGTAAATGCAATGGCCCGAGAGAAGAGGTCAGGAAGGAGCACTCTGTCTCTCAGACCACTTGGAGATGCTCCAGCTCACTCCTGCTGGTTCCAGAGTGGAAATCATGGACCCTATGGGTCCACAGTGTACCATGCCTTATCCTGCTCTCACATCTCTTCAACTGCTGCTGTGGGCTCCCACCTCAATAGCTCTCTGCCCACAGATTTCCAGCTGGCCTTGCATCCTCCAATGCAATCCTCACTGGGATCTGGAAGAGCCAGAATAATCCTGTCAGGGGCCCTGGCAAGTCTGGGGAGCCTGGCCCCATGTCCTTTTCCTTACAGAAGCTGCAGTAGTCTTCCCACGGGATGGAGCTAGGGGATGGATGGGGGCAAGTCTGTCCTCCCTCCTGGAGGTGCTCTGCAGCCAGAACTACATGGAGAGGAGATGTCATCCTGTGCAGAGCCTCTGGCTTCTCAAGCACGGACAGGAGAACTTCTGTTAAATGTGGAGAGCTGGTTTTGATGACTAATATTTTGGCTGATGCAAATTCAGAAAAAGATAGGAAGTTTTCAGAGAAATTCTGGAGGCAAGAGGTTCAAATGAAATTGGGGAAAAATAACACTGCTGCAAAGCCAACTGCATCTGACACAGGAGGAACCAGAGAAAGAACCAGAATGGTGCTGGAAATGCTGCTGCCCACAATAGTCCCAGCAGTGACGAGGTAAAGTTTTTGGAGTAAATATCCACTGTCTTCCAGAAACAGGTCTGAACCTGCCAGCCAGTCTTGGACTTACCCTCCAGCACGTGGCACCAGGCATCCAGCCCTGGGCTCTCAGTCACTTCAAATTCCAAGTCACCCTCATCCCACAGCATCCTGATGTCCTGCAGCAGGGTAAGATGTCCCCATCCTCCTCCTGCACCTTCAGCCTCCCAGTACCCCTAGTCCCACCCCTCCTCAGCCTGACTTCCCAGCACGCTCTCCTGATGGTGTTGAGGTGGACAGTGCCAGCAATGGTGACTGCCTGGATATGGCCCAGGGACCCCTGCCCAGCACCATGTCTTCCCTGCAAGGACACCTATGGTTCCAGGGGACCCCCCACCCATCCACCATCACCCCATTCTCACCAGGCAGTGAGTGGTCACCAGGATGTAGGGTTGTGAGGAGAGAGGCATTGCCCCTGCGCCCTTGGGTGCCCACAGCTGAGCCTGCTGGGTGCTGAGCACTGTGGTAGGTGGGACAGCCAAGGTCCCAAATACCCATCCCTTACCCGCAACCCTTCTTGTCCCCTAATGCCCTGGTGTTTCCCAAACTCCCAAACCAGCACCAGAGGTCTCTGACCCCATAGTTGTCCCCAAACTCCGGTGGTTGTGCCCAACATTCCAAGGACCCCAACACCCCTGACATCCCTGTCCCCATAGATCAATTAATGCATGGTCCCCATCCCCCTGAAGGTCCCCACCTGGGGGAAGCACTCCAAGGTGGGGTTGAGGGGTCCCCATGGGGCCAGGGAATATGACACAGATGAGGATGATGTCACTGGCACTATGAGGACCTGTGAGGGATGAGTGGTGTAGGAACTCCTGTACCTGCTGCATGGTCGCAGTCACCTGTGGGGAGAGAGGAAACACGAGGGACAGAGCAGATGGCAGGGATGGTGAGGACAGCGGTGACAGTGGGGTCACTGCTGCACCTTCCATGGGAATCCTGGGGCTCTGAGCATCCCCTGCTGGGGTCCCACCCATTCACTGCATTCCCAGGGCTTGATGATGATGTCAAAGCCCCCCTGAGTCTGGGGTGGGAGAGAGGGCAGTGCTGCTTGGGCTCCCCCCGACTCGAGTCACGCAGTGCCACCCACCCCAGCCCTGCCAAAGAGCAATTCCACTGCAGGTGCACCCTGAGCCTGTTGCACCAGCACCCGTGTAGGGAAACCAGCAACCCAGGGATTCCACCTCTTCCCCCCCCCGCCCCATCCCATGGGTTTGGGGGGCAGGCCCAGACCCTCCACCTGGCTCATTAACATGCCCTGGCCCTAGTCCTTTCCCTGCCTTCATTCTGGGGGCACACCCCCAGTCCTCCCACAATACCCAGCCTGGGGGATGCCCCCCATGCTCTCCTGCTCCTGCCACCACTGAACCTTCACCATTCCCTGTGGTACCTGGCCAGCTTTGCAGTGGCAGCTCTGAGGCAGAGGGCGGGAGGGTAGTTTTGAAATCAATCTTAGAAAATTTGAAACAACAAGAGGTTAATTTTTGTTTTTTTTATTAACTTGAGAAGAAATCCCTTTTCTTTGGGCAGCTGTCCCAGCCCAGGTGCTGGCTGTCCAGGTGCTTCATCTGGGGGGACTAGGTTTGCAGCAAATGCCATTTGTGCCAGGGGTCAGTGGCTGGGGTCCGAGGCTGGGCGGTGCTCTAGTAAGGTGGTAGGGCCTGGGGCCAAGGGACAGGGGTGAGGCCCCCCAGCCCAGGGGCAGCCCTGGCTGGAGGCAAATCTGCCACCCCAGAACAGGACAGGCAGCAGGGGCACCTGCCTGGCCAGAGATCCTGTGGGACAATGTTGCCCCTGTCCTCCAGCAGACAGGCTGCTGTCCCACACTGGCCAAGGCCATCCCCACACTGCCTCCAGCTCAAACACCCCCATCCACCAGGCCTCCCCTCCATCCTGTGTCCGCCCCTCCTCAGCCCACCTCAGATCACAGTTCTACCTACTCAGTCATGCACACAGAGCCCTGCTCACCCATTGCTGGAAAACAGCTGGAGCTCACTCCCCCCTTCCCCAGTGCCCTCACAGGGCCATACCCAGCTTGTCCTGTGCCCTCACTGCCACCTTAGGCCTGTGCTTCTGACTGTGATCAGTGCGGTCATCTGCACCCAGCAGCTCGGTCACACCAGGCTGGGAAGGAGAGAGTGGCTGGCTGAAATGTTGAGCCCAATTCAGCACCCCCAAGTAACCTTCCCCATGCAGCTTTCCCCGAGGAAACTAAGGCACAAATCCGCACAGATGCTCAGAATCTCCCTCCCAGCCTTGGTGCTCCCTGATGTATCCCTCCCTTTGCCATCCCTACCTTTTTGGAGAGCCACAGGACATCCTTCAGCTGTGCATTGGACGTGTACTGGCCCCTGCCATTCTGCAGCTTGGGGTGGGACCTGCCATTGGGCAGCTTCCTGGGGGCCAGGGCACAGAAATCATCAGCACCCAGCTCTGTGGTACCCTGAGCTTCATCCCACAGTGCCAGGAAGGGGATTCTCCCCGGTGGGACATGTCCTTTCCGACTCCCCTACAACTGCTGCAGCAGACTCATGCCTGTCTCAACGTGCTAAATCAACCCCCCACCAAGCCTGAGGTCAGGCTGAGATCAGATACAGCTGTGATGATCACATGTGGCACTAGCGCCACTGAGACCAGGGCTGGATGGGGCAGTGCAGCAGGAGCTCTAAAATCACCGAGACCTGGGGCAAGGACAGCTGGCCCTCTGTGGCCCCCAGTGCTTCCCTGCCCTGCCCAGGCTCCCCCTCTGCCTCTGCCAGCAGAGGGACTATCCTGCAGCCCAGGGCCCAGGGATGGGTCCCCATGTGCCCTACCTGTAACCATGCTGTTGTGCTTGCTCCTCTGTGATGATGGTAGTGGGGTATGCAGCATGGCTGATGGGCAGCGGTGGATAGAACGGGAGTGTGTCAATGTGCCTGGGGAAGACAGGAGCCACGGGTGGGTGATGGGGGACAAACAAGCCATCCCAGCTTGGGACAGCACCCCAAAACCCATAGGCTTGCACCGCACAGCATCCCCCTGCCTGCTGCCCTCAGGCAGAGGTTCCCTGAGGGGTCCCCATTCCCTGGCTGACAGACAGGGCTGTGGAGGGTGCTCAGCAGAGTCAGATCCCAAGGCAGACACCCTAGCCCCCATGCCTGACACAGGGCACTGTCAGCACCCGTCCCCCCCATCCCACCCATGCAGCCCCCTGATACACCAGTGCTGGGTGCTACTCACGGGCCAGGCACCTGCATGTTGAGGTCCCGGTCACAGGATAGGCACTTGTAAGGGACCAGCAGCTGCCTAAGGGGGGAAAGAGTCTGGTGAGCTCCTGGTGAGGCTGCAGTGCTGCCTGCATACAGACAGCAGCTCACAGGCAGCTGCAGGTGCCGGGCATGTCGCTACAAGGAGTCATGGTGTTTGCATGAGGAACTGCAGGGTGTTGAGCCTGATTTCCCCCACAAAAGAAAAAAGAGACAAACTCACCCTGACCATGCTGTAAACTCTGAACTATGTGGCTGCCCAGGGCAGGTAGGGAGGGATGTGAGAGGCAGGGGGCAGGTGCCCATGTTGCCATCTGAAGAAGCCCTTTCCCCAGTGTCACCGCCTTGTCAGCACTCATGAGCCCCCTATGCCTGGCCAGGAGGGCAGGTCATGACCCGGCCCTGTGGTGCCATGTGTTGTGCTCCTGCCTGTGGGAATGACCTGCTGTCCCCTATCCTTGCACCTCTGCACCCACATCCCAGTTTTGGTTTGGAGGGCTCCATTCTGCAGATGCCCCTCCTGGTACCTCCTTTGATGTGGCGAACCTTCTACTGGTGGATGGAGAAGGCAGAGTCATGCTTTGTCACCATCCCTGCGGTTCGCTGGCTATACTTGTTGGATGCCAGGGTACCACATGGGCACTGGCTGGGATAGCTGGAGGAAACGAGGCCAGTGATGTCCTCAAAGCCAACACCATGCCCATCACACTCACTGCTTAATTCCTGCAGCGTCATCTGCAGAGACTGACATCTCGTCCTTGAGCTCCTTGATCATCCTCCCCCAGATCTCCTCCAGCTGCTTCTGGAAAGGTCCCAGCTCTAGGCGATCCAGCTGTGGGCAGATGCACACCCTCAGACAGCTGCCCCAGGATGAAACATGGTGGTCCCCAGGGAAAAGCCAGGATGGGGATCCTTGGAGGGATGCTGCCTTGAGCTTCAAAATCCCAAAGGAGCCAGTTCTGTGCAGTGGGGACAAGGCACCCTGTACCTTGGAGTCCAGTGCATCACGGAGCTGCTGGTGGACCTCCTGCCAGCGCTGCTCCTGGCCCAACACCCGTTTCAGCATCTCCCGCATCCTCTCCTCCAGACTCTCCATGCTTGCCTCAAATTGGGTGCAACTGACTTTGCTGCCCAGAGCGGCTTTGTCGTCTTTCTAGCAGGAAGGAAAGGCAGGACAGTGGTGGGGACAGGGCAGATGTACAACGGGCAGGGCCAGTGTCTGTTGGGGACAGAGGTAAAACTGCTCCTCTAGGGACATTGTGGCCCTTTCAGGGATGCATGGCCTGATGCTCACCCCATCAGCCCCGTGGGGTTGATCTCACCAGCCGAAGGGACCCAGGGAGGAAGAGGAGATAGAGGGACCTGGGAAGGGATTTGCAGCCAGTCTGGAAATACACCCTCCCCCCTACGCCAAAGGCAGTTTTGCTGAGTGCCCAAAGGACAAGGGGCATTTATCGTTTTGCCTGAGACTCCTTGGTTGATGACAGGCCCCTCAAGACTTACCAGCAGCAGCAGGTCCTCCTTATCTGCTTTCTTCTCCAGATTCTCCAGGGACCGGAACAGAGCCTTCCAATACAGAAAGCATTCCATGACACTGCAGCAGAGTCAGAGCTGCCTCTTGGCCAGCCAAGCACCCCATGTTCTCTGCTATCCAAAAACCTCTGGGAAAGGCCATCTGAACCCACAGAGCACTGTGAGCAGATGAATGGGGGATCAGATCTCTGGTGGTTCCCAGGCTGGGGTGTGCCTGGAGGATACTCCCGCCCTGCAGGGGGTTCAGCCACCCACCTCGATATCTTTCTGCTGTTGGCGATGGTCATCCCGGAGGCTCCCTGTGACATAGCCAAGCTGCTCACAGTCCCCTTCCACCCGCACAACTGTGGCTTGGATGCTCTTCAGCAGCTCCTCATCCTGCTGCAGGGAGGAAGACGACAAGATGGTGCCATACCAGTGATGTCTGGCTGCCCCAGAGAGACAGATCTAGGGTACTCAGCAAGTGCCACAAGCCCTCAGTGCTAGCACAACATTTGTATCAAGGCTTTAATTTCCTGCTGACTTCCATGCTGCTGACTTGTCCAAATCAATGTGGGAAGACAGCAAGGGGCTGCCCCACATTACAGTGAACACAACCCAACAAGAGGCTCCTGAGTCACCCCCCTCAAGCCCCCCATGCTGCCATCTGCCCACCTGGCTCTTCTGTGGCAGTGACCTCTGCACCTGCTGTGGTGCCAGGGAGTCCACTCGCTCCTGGAGTATCTCATAGTCGTGTAGGAGCTTCTTCAGCACCTCAGTGTCTGACCTGTGGTCAGGGCTTGCTGCCTCTGCCTGCTTCTGCCCTGTGCTCCCCACCATCGCCCTCAGCTCATCCAGCTGCAGGAAGGAGAGGTAGGATGGATGCAGCCAACAGACCTGCATGCCATGGCGGCTCGATAGCCCCAGCCAGGCAGCGGATGTGGCCAGAACCCCACAGGGAGCACCCTGCTGTTTGGGACAACAATGGGCATGCTTCCGCTGGACCTTACCTTCTCCTTAAGCTGGTTGGCTGTGACCAGCTCCTTCAGCGCAGCCTTGGTAATCTTCTGCTCCTCTCTCAGCTCCTTCTGCTCATCTCTCAGCTCCTTCTGCTCATCTCTTAGCTCCTTCTGCTCCTGTTTAACCTCCTGCAGTGCAGACCTGGCCAATGAGACAGGGGCACAGGTAGGCTGAGCTTCCACAGGATCACTCGGAAGGTGTCCCTCACTGCCCAAACCGGATGCTCCTGGCCACCTTTCAGGCTCCCTTGCAGCCCCACGAGATACAAAGCCCTCTCCCATCCTCTTACCCCAGCTGGGAGGTCTCATCTTTGCCATCAGCCACACATAGCTTTCCAAGGGCATCCTCCAGCTGCCTGATCTGGGAAGGGTGGTTGTGGCAGAGTCAGAGCATGCACCTTATGTTCTCCCAGCATGGGGTTCTTTGTCTGCCTCCTCCCTGCCAACTTCCCCTGGCATCCCTGCAACCCCCTCAGGGACTGCCACAGGCTCACCTTCTCCTTCTCACCCTGCAGGTCACTGGCCAAGCCCTGCAGGTCACTGGCCAGGCCCTGTAGGGAGGTCACCTGGCCCCGGAGCTCAGACAGGTCTCTGGTGATTCTCTCCACTGCTGGGTGGCCTGCTTGGGATCCAGGCTGTGTCCCGGTGGTGCCACTTTGAGCACTGGGGGTCCCTGTCTGTATCCCTGGGGTTGTGCTCTGGGTATCAGGGCATGACCCCAGGGTTTCCATGTCTGAAATGTGGGGCTTGGTAGGGGCAGACTGGTCATGGAGAGACAGTGGATGGCCAGCAGGATCCTGGAGGGTCCGCTAGAGTAGGATGAGAAGACGGGCAGCAGTCAGGACCCAGGAATATCCACAATTGATCTTGTGCACAAGCTAGAGGGACTCTTTACAGCTCTGGCTGTCCTGCACTGGTACATCCTTATCTTCTCTCCTTTCCAGCACCCATGCTCCCTTTTTTAAGGGCTGTTTAGTTCAAAGTGCCTCAGGATGCCTTTGGCTAAGGCAGGCAGTGACCTCTACCACTGTCCTGACCTGCAGGCAGAGGTGGGTGGACCCTTCTCACTCTTCTGTCGTGGTGCCCTTCATGCTGGGCAATAGAGGGCCACAGGCCAGGGGTGGCAGGGCAAGATGGTGAGAGGCAGGGAGGCTGTGGGCACCCAGCTCCCTCCCTCCTGCACTGGCAGCAGCTCACCTGGCCAAGAGCTTTCTGGATCATCTGGATGTCTTCTCCCACGTGGGACTGTGTGGCTCTCATTTCATCGACCTCTTTGCGGAGATCCTCACAGAGATCTGTGGCCTAGGACAGGGGGATGGTGAGGTTCAGCCCCAGGATACCTGACCTGGGGGTCCCTGAAGGACCTTCATCCCTGCCATGTTCTCCATGTGCGGCACAGCAAAGGGTCTGGTGAAGCCTGGTAGCCAGGCACTGTGAACAGCACTCTCCATTCATCCAGCAGGGCCAGATCCAGGGGTACTGAACCTCTAGCAAGCAGAGGCAAGGGCACTGGCTGCTCCCTCGGATCCACACCTTGCTGATGGTGGTAACTCACCTGGCCAAGTGCCTCCTTGATCCTCTGGATTTCCTCTCCCATGTGGGACTGTGTGGTCTTTATCCCAGCCATATCTTCATGGGAATCCTGGGATAGAGCTATGGCCTAGGAGAGATGGGTAGCAGAGGTGAGCCCCAGGTGAGCAGCTCCCCAGAGAGCCCCCGTCCCTGCCCTGGGGAGCTGATGGCACAGCCTGTGTCAGCAGAGACAGACTCTGCATGAGGAGGATCCAAAGCACCCAGAGCAGTGCTTCATCCCCAGCTCTTCCTCCCCAGAACTCCCTTTCCCACAGTGAAACCCCAAGTGCTGTTCTGAGCTTGGGCTTCAATCAAACTTTGGTATAAGGGCACAGACCTCAGAGGAGGATGGGGGTATCTTGAGGGGAGCACCCTGGGGGCTGGGAGGAGCCTCTACATCAGAGATACCACTCTCTTTGGCTTCAGTCTTCTCCACGTCAGTGGCCATGGAGGTGACTGGAGAGCCACTCCTGGTCCCCTGCAGCAGGTCCTTCCCAGACAGCTGCTCCCCTGGCTCCTGGGGCTGCTGCCGCATGCCCTGGGCTCCGGCCTTGGTCCTGCCCTCCTTCTGCAGGCCAGGGTATGATCCGGCAGGCTGGATCTCCTCCACAGCTGAGGGGGGCACGTCTTGCAGGCCCAGCAGGCTCAGGTGATCCAACATGAGCTTCAGCAATTTTCGGAGCGCCTCTAAGTTGACGTTGACCTCAGGGGTCCCGATGGCATCATCCAGCAGCTGCAACATGCTGACTGAGGCCATGGCTGCTGCCCTGTCTGAAATCACAGCACCAGTCCTGGGGGAATGGGAGACACTGTGCTCGGAGGGAACCCGGCAAGTTAGGAGTGTGGGCAGCCAGCAGCCCCCTTCCTCCTCCGCCTCCTCCTCATCTGCCTTTCTGAGCCCCAGCCGCAGGCATGCATCTGCCTGTGTTTGTGCTCTCTCTTGTTGCCAGGTAACACCTGGCCCTGGCAGCCGGTTGCAACAGAGCTATGGAATCATGGAATAGTTCTGATCGGAGGGGACTTTTTACAGATCATCGAGTCCTGGGCTTGCAGCCATGGTGGGTCAGGATCCCCTGGCTGTAGGGTTCTTACCTGATGGCTCCCTGGTTCTTCAGCCATCCCACCTGGGCTGGGGGAACATGAGGTTAGGGACCCAAAAATTCCCTTGGTCCCCTTGATGGTCATCTGCATTCCACCCTGGGCTGGAGGGGACAGTGTTAGGTGTACCCCAACCTCTTCCGGCCCCTCAAGTATTGCCCCACCTTGGGATGCCCCTGTACAGCGCAGTTGAGGGCAGTGATTCAGCCACACAGAGTGCTGCAAGTCACCAATGGGTCAGGAATTGGGGGCTGAGCAGACATCATGCTCCTGGAACTCAGGGTGCTTTAGTATCAGGCATGGACATACACACACAGACATATGGCCTGAGCTGGGGACCCCTGGACAGTACCACAGTGCTGGGGAGACCCAGGTGGCTGGATGCAAGGTTAGCAAGAGAGCTAGTGGTGTCTGCTGACTGCTGTTCCTTCTTTGGGCTCCTAGAATTGGGGGGCAAGTGGCACTGCAAAACCCTAAAGGAACCAGATGTTTGGGGTGCCAACCGCAACCAGGAGGGGATAGAACTGTCTGGGCAGCTCCCCAAAGAGATCCAGATTTTGGGGTACCCTTCACAACCCTGAGGGGACCTAGATGTCCAGATGGCCTCCCAGAACCAGGAGGGGGCCCAGATGTCTGGGTGTCCCCCCACAACCAGGAGGTGGACCTGATGGTACTTGTCTGATGGGAGACTGTCCACCGCTCTCCAAAGCTTCCACACCAGGCAGCTATGGGAAGAGGACACATTGCCCATACAGGGTGTTTCCACATATACGGAAGGTACATACTTGGAATATTGTGTCAAGAAGAGCATCCTTCATTTTAACAGTACCTTCAGTATGTGGTTTGGTCTCTTGGTGGAGTGGATGGCAAAACAGCACTGTCAAGCCCTGCTTAGCTGAACTGATCCATATAAAAAACTAATAGATAAACAATCCCCTGCTTAGTGTGTGTTTAATAGCATATTCCCAATCCAGATCATCCGTAGCTAGAGGACTTTCTTGCAATCTCAGCACTCTGCTCTTAATGAGATATTTTAATGGTAGAAGAGAGTAATTCTTGCCAAAGTTACAGCTGAGTCAGTAGTGAAGATAACACAAATGCTGAATTCAACAGGGTTTGGTTTTCTTTTTATAGCTAAAGGAACTCAACACTCTATAGTAAGGAGAGGATAGCAGGATAAAACAAGTAAAGAGAGAAATTATTTATTTGTAACACATTAGGAACACTGTTCACAGTACATCATTAACAGGGTGACTACATAATGAGGTGATCATAAAAGGGTGACTTAAAAAGCTAGTTAAAGACAAAGCATAGATTATAGGCTAGTCATGGAAACTGGTAGGCTTTTTCGTCCCATATGCAAAGCTGCACAAATAAAGACTGTCTCATACTGTTTCTGCAAAGGTAAACGATTGATTTACTCAATCGGTACATTTTCTTTATTTTGTATAAACATACCATTACTTAGATTAACATTTCCATATAGTTTATGATGTTTAATTTAAATACAGTATTATGTCTCATTAATTTAAGGTGCAATTTATCAAAATCTACAGTAAATATTTTTTCGTAATCAGTTCTCTTTGGCACGCTTCTGGTTTGTTTCAATACAAAAGTGTAGGATTGAATTGAGTATATAACACTGCAGGAACTTGGAGGGGTTTTTTTGTTAGCATATGAGTGAGATATTATGTTTACCACAAGCTTATTTACAAACAAAGAACTGTATATGAATTTCAGTTTACTTTATATATAAAATGGCTAACTACTTCAATGTGCAAGGCAAAAAAAAATTATTACAGCAACTCCTCCCTTGAGAGAGTGGTTTTTGCACCATGGAAATCTTGTATAAAATGTTTTAGAAAATGGAGATTTCTTATGAGGAAGTTCTTGGTGCTTCTTATTCTATAGCAAGCCATCTGAGGACATTAATTTCTGGGTCCAGAAATGGTTCATAAGATACAGTTTAGCCATCATATTGGCACTGTAGTGGTGCAGCTATAAACTTGCATGTTCAACTGGCAAACTAAACCAAGGAGCCAAAAAAACCAACTGGTCTGTGTAAAAAGTTTAGTCAGAGTGTCTTCTTTTAGAAAAAACAGTCTGACTCCTATATATCTTGATAATATATCTGGGTTTATTCCAAGGAGGAAAGGTGTAGAATTTGCACTGTGCAATTTCATCTTCATGACCTCTGCTTCTTTTGGGCTGACTATTGTTTGGTCCGAATCAAAGGTCAACAACAAAAACCAGACTTTCTTCTCTTTCTGATGGAAATGTACTAGGAGGCCATCCAAGTGGACCTAAATAGGTGCAGTGTCAATTTACAAAAGCTCTTCAAATGCCAGAAGAGCAAACTTGTAACAACGTATTTCACATCTGAAGGCCAATCCCAGCTGGTTGGCACTCACATGAAAGGCATGGGGAAACTTAGCTACATAAATACTAGAAATTCTTCCATGCCCAATTATTTCATAATTAAAGAAAACCTAAACTCTGTTCACAGTAAAATGTACTTATTTCAAGGCCCTTCTGGTCTGTTTTTTCCTGAATCACGCAAGTAGTATCCCCTCAGCTGCAGAAATTAGCAATTTGGCAAATGATCAAGTTACAGGAGGTGTCAAGTACAGTGTGACCTGTTTAGAAGGCAAGGATGTTAAAAAGTATTTCATATAGGTGCTTTGTGATGTGGTAAGGTCTGAAATGTTGTGCTGCTCCTGAGTAAAACACATTTGGCCGTTCCAGCTAAGGTACCCACTTATGAGCATGCTGATTCCAAGGAGGCATTTCATAGCCCCAGCAAAAGTGTATATTCTTAAAAAAAAAAAAGTATTTTACAACTGTCTTTTTCTTCAACTATCAGCACATACTAAGAGTGGTGAGTTCAAACTGTTGAGAAAGATGATGAGAAGGGGACAGAACTGGTAAGGTGAATCAGAATCTGTGTAGTAAATCAAATGCTAGTGAGACGTAATTCATTCTCAATTATCCTTTAACCTTTTTGAGATATTGCATATGGCCATGTACTTTAGTGCTCCTGTTTTACCTGAAAGCTACTGGCTTTAGAACTGAGATGTCTGTGTGAAGGATATGGTGTCAGACTTATCTATAGCAAAGCCTCCATTGATGTAAGATTTCTTGGTCTCTGTTTCATCATTATCAAGCATTGCTGTTTCCAAGGCAAAAGGATTGACTATGTTGACTTCAGAGGTGACATCCATCTGCTCCAGCTCCTTTTTAGAGAGCTTCTCCACTACCCCTGTACCAAAGGCATCTCCCAAGACATTCACCATTGTTCTGAATCGATCCCTATGGAATAAAAATGTTGTCAGACAAACCATTCAGTACATTACTTAGAAAATCCTTTAAGTAAAAGTAAGCCTACTCTAGCAAATCCAGCACTGTTTCTCTCCCAATTCAAATTTAGGGTAATTCTTCAATTAAAAGAAAAAAGAAATAGAATTTTGCCCATATGTATTTGAAGAAGCCTGGAGTCACTTTCATGACAAGTTATTGTGTATAAGTCATGCAAAAATGCAAGTCACGTCACTTGTCTGCCCAGAGCAGTAATTCCACTGCTGTGGCACACCCTTACAAAATGTTGCAAGGATCACCTCTCAGGCCCTGAAGTATGCTACGCAGCTGGTTTCCTTTGTGGTGAGAGACTGTGGGGTGCAGCAGAGTCTACACTGTGCTTTTTGTGATTCTAACAGTCATGTCTTCAGCCAGATGAGCCCAGCATATTCAGTATTCTGCCCCAAACCCTGGAGAGGGGAAAGGCTATCTTCTGCTAGCTTCTCATTGTTAAAGGGATGAAGTTTGACACTACTAGCAAATAGTTTGCAAAATAATATATTTTAGGCAGTAAGTACAAAAGGTGAAAGTGTAAATCAAGTCACTTAAAGGAATATGATAATTCTGCATTGTTGACTTTCTCCAAACAGAAATGTGACTTGCAGGCCTTAAAAATCTGCCACTACTTGGCAGAGGAGCAACATACCCATGCAGCATAACAAAGTTTAAAAATCTATGTGGAAGTAAGGTATGCAAAGTGGAAGGCCATTCTTCCCTGTTTTTCTTTTCAGCTACACAACAGTGCAAAGGGTCTGTGGCAGAACAGGTTTCTCTGTCTACGATGTTGAGGCTGATATATTCATAATATTTTGCAAAATGTGCCAAAACAGTGAAGTGAATTGGCATGTCTCATATATATTCTTCTTCTAGAACTGATGAACTCCAGAGCTAAAAAAATTCCCACATTTTTTTCCATGTGGAATAAAAATATGTGGTAGGGAAAGGAAGAGAGAGGCAAAGTAAAATTCTGATAAGACCAGTGTGACAAATCAACAGAACTGAAAGCTCATCTATTATAATACTTGTAATCTATTCTTCATTTAACATGAGGAAGAACTCCTCAAACCTATGCAATAAAACTTTGGTAAGTTCAGAATTAACTGGTGGGTTGTTAATGAGCCACTACTAGCAAATAGTTTGCAAAATAATACATTTTAGGCAGTAGGTACAAAAGGTGAAAGTGTTAATAATCTACGTGGCATCACGATGTGCATTCCATCTCCTGAGGTGCAAAATGCACTAGCAATGATCCCTGGTACAAAAAATTAATCTTTAATTTGCTTTACACAGCAAGAAACCTTAGTCTGAAAAATGCCTCAGTTCCAATGAGAAACATCTTGAATTATTTGTATGCTTCATGATGGAACAGGTAGCTTCCACAATTCATACTGAGCCTAAGAATCACATAAACTGTAGACTTTCAAAATGGAGTCAAGATCAGATCCATAAAGTTATGATTGCTACGAGAAAATGGGAATTACTATTCTCTTTCTCTCTCACTCTCACAAAAGAAATAGAGGGCTTCAAATAAAATTATTAGGATGTTAATTAGAACAAACAAAATTTAATATGTCTCTGCACAACACTTCATTACGATGCAGAATTCCCATGTTCCACAGGAATTATGGAAACATGGGTCCCAAAACAATGAGGCATTCAGGGAAGAAGATGACAAAAAACACCTCTAGCTCAGGAGTTCTGTGAGCTGCAATTTGCAGAAGGCTGGAAGAGTACTTTGGGAAAATAACCAATATACATTTGTTCTGTGCTTAGACTCTTTAGATAACTGCTCGAAGACAGTGGTTTGTACTGATCTGCACTATCCTTAACAAAGTTAAATATCCACCAGGAATACAGCAAACAAAGCTATTGGACCCCAATGCAGACAGATGATTGGGAGAATGTACTTGTGGCTGGAGCTGGTTGTTTTGGAGCAATTATGCTTATGCAAATATTGAATTGATTCTTGGATCCATCTAACAGCCCTGATTTTCTGGAGACTGGCATTTCTCTCTACTTGCAAAATTAAGTTATATAATAAAATAAATGAAATAGATCTGTGAAATACATAGGTTGCTGCCAGAAATCCTGCAATAAAGTTACTGGAAAGAGTTAGGGAAGAACAGGAAGGCATTTACCTTGAGTGTAAATATGAGCCGAAGAAGACATGCAAAGATTACGAAACAATCAAGATCTCTGGATTGATACAAATGAAAGGTCATCCATGCTGAGTTACTGCAGGTGAACAAGACCTTGGCCTGAGCACTAAAACTCACACAGTTTAAGTGGTAAAAAAGCTGTATTACATACTAAAATTATACTCCTTGACTTGTGAATCCTGTCACCCTGTGAATCATGGGACATAACCGAGTGTCAGCATCCTTCTGAACTCCAGAATACACTCTGCGATTCTTTGGGCTTTTGCAAATGTAGCAGAGAAAAACCTCCCTGCAACTCAAACAGAAAAGATTTCTGGTGAAAAGGCTTCTCTCCAGAAAGAGTTGCCAAATGGGACTATGGGGTTTTGAAGTCCTCTGAGATGGTTGGGATCAGGCATAAGGAAAGCCTGCCGAGTTTACGTGTGTTTGCTGATCAAGGTGCTGGGCCAGTGCTCTTAGTGAAGAACAGCCCTAGCTAAGTAGTGCCAGCAGCACAGCCCCACAAACAGCCCACTATGTGCATGTCTGTGGAGTCCAGGGACAGCTTTGCTTAGTTCATGTTGTCCTTCACTACCTCTTCACCAGTGTATGGATTTTATGTGTTTTGTTGAAATCAACCAATATGTTATGCTTGTGGCTACACCTAATTTTTATGAATTGTGCCTATATTTAGCATAATGTAGTGTCTGCTGACATTTCAGAGGCACGCCTTGGTACTGTCAAGTTTGTCTTTCCTGAGCATTATGCTCATGATTTATGTGGCTGCTACTTTAAGGTTGATAGCACTTCTGAATGTGAGATTATTCACTGCCATCCCATGCAGTAGGACTTCTCTCACTGTTAAAGCCTGCATTCAACTCTGAACAAGCCTGACCATAAGAATAACATTTGTCCGTTTCCTGCAGTAGTTCTAAATGATTTTGTTGCTTTCTTTCTCAGACTCACATATTCCCAGGTAATTCATGTAAACATAAAAAAAACACCCAAACCAAACTAATTAAATATCAAGTGCCATAAACTCACAGAAGCCAGTCAACTGCAATGATCAGAGTAACATCCTCGGCGGGCAGGCCAACGGCGCTCAGTACAATCACCATGGTGACAAGTCCAGCTTGGGGGACGCCTGCAGCCCCAATGCTGGCTGCTGTAGCTGTGACACTAAATCCCAAATAAAGCCCAGAAAAGGCATTTAGAATGCATATTGTTCACAGAAACACAGAAACCCAAATGTTCCAGTTTCCTCTTGAATTGTATCTACTCAAAGTCCAGTGTCAAGCTTATGGGGCAAGTCATGTACAGATACTGTTATGGTTACACTGCAGATTAATAGGCAACATATGTATAACAAGCAAACTGGACAGATCAGAGGTAGAGGCTGAGCTGGGTTTGCAAGTGTTTGCAGGGAAGAATAATGGCAATTTCCAGAACAATGCTGTATACCAGCTGCATGCCCTGGCCCACCCGTCTCCTCATCAGGTTGCACTGGCAAGGCCTCAGAACAAGAAGTGAGAATGCTTGTTATTTCCTGTGCTGTCAATGATAGTCTAAATTTTCCTGTGGGGTATCCAAAGTTAATGTACCATTCACAAAAATCCTCACTGCCCACAAAGAACATGTAATGGCTTTAGTCTTACCTAATGGTAACTATTTGGCCAATATCCAGTTCTAAGTCATTCAGTTGTGCGATAAATACGGCTGCTACTGCTTCATAAAGAGCTGTGCCATCCATGTTGATGGTAGCTCCAACTGGGAGAACGAATCTGGTGATTCTTTTATCAATCAGGTTTTTTTCTTCTGCACAACGGAAGGTGACAGGCAAAGTTGCTGAACTGGCACATAATGAAACACATAAAGTAAGTGCAGGCAAAACCACACTATTTCCCTTGTCTTTCCTTTTTCTCAGAGCATGACCTGCTCTAGGACTCAAATGGAGATCTAAGGCAGGAAGAAAGGCTGCACCTTGGAAAAGCAAGGCAACTTTTTTTATATCTTCTAGTTATTGAAAGAAATCACAAATTCTTAGTTATTCTCAAAATCAGAGTACAACTGCCCTGGCGTATGTAGTCACAGAAACTGTGCAACAGCTTCAACTCTATCAAGTCTGTGACTAATCAGCTGAATGGCAAAGAACTGCCTCCTCCTGGGAGAGGCAGACCCTCATTTGGCCAGCACGATCTATTGTGTCCCTTTGGGTACCACAGAAATAATGATGAAAGCAATACTTCAATCTCCAAGGCACTGTAAACTGTCGAGTTGATACCAGGACTTTTAACAACATAGCAATAAAATCAGAGCCCAAACAATGCAATTACTATTAGGAACATTACAGAAAAGATGTTTCTTTTGTTTACCTGGAAGAAATCATGAGGGCTGTCAGAAGTGCCTGAGCCATCCCCATTGCGAAACGAAAAGGATTTTTTCTTACTATTATTAAGTAGATCAGTGGCAGAATTATACCAGAATGGATTGCAAGTCTGCAAAATAAAATGGACTAGTTAAACAAATGGATCCATCTCACTATCTTGCTTTACTAAGATGGTAATAATAGGTATCTAGTTCTGTCCTCAAGAACACTTACAAAACACTAAAGGTGACTTTATGTGCAAAATTTAGAAAGAATAAGTAATATTGTTAATAAATGTGAATAAAACGCAAACTAATGTTGTTCTACACTTCCTTTTGGAAGGGAGAGAGAGAGATCATATATGATTTGTCTCTGTTTCCTAAGCAGAACACAAATGAACTGATTTATTAGAAATAATTTTAAACTGATCAAAATGAGAAGCCTAAAATAATACGTTATACTTAAAATGAAGCGCAGAGGATGAGTTGAAATAAGACCAAAACACTTCACTCTTCTTTCAAATCCTTACAATGCAGACCAGAGACAAATCAGAAAACCAAACCAAATTATTGTTCTAAGTTTATTTGCCCTTATTACAGAACATGTTTTGGAATTAAATGTAAATATGCTTTCCAGTCAGGGACAGCTGAAATCTACATCCTTCTGCAGAAACTTCAATCATAAACCTATAGAAAAATCCACACCTACTCTGAGGAAAACCGTGTAAGGTCTGTAATTAAAATGTAGTGATATTGTGAATGACATATATGTAGTCTCAGCATCTTTAATATTAAAAGATACTGAAATACTATCCTTTGAAACTATTAATTTTTAAAATTGTGTTGACTCAATTGCCCTCTTGACTTTAGCTGCTCAGGTGCCCGCATATCTGTGTAGGTTTCAGGGTCAAATTCATCCTTTAACTTGAGCATTGATTTTGAACACTGTGCAATAATTCCATAGGCATATGCATGCAGTGGTTGTGGGCATTAAGATTAGAGACAAACAGAATGCTTGAAGCACATTTGAAACAAAATATATGTGAAGAGTCTGTGAAATATTCCCTATGTTTGAAGGTTGAAAGTAATTATTGCAACATCAGCTTCTTGTGAAAAGAAGTTATAGCATGAAAACATAAATCCCAGAACTGTTGGCATGTATGACCTTGGAATTTTTATTCTGTCCTCACAATATGTTAATGTGCACATTACTGTGTTTTAATAATGCTTTATGATTTCAGAGCAGCTGATAAAGGTAGTGATAAATCATGGTACCATTTGTTCTGCCAAAAATAGACAATTAAGAGAGCAGTAGTCACAGTACAGAAATCCACAACAGCACCAAAAATCACCCACAAAATCTATGTATTTTTTCCCTTGGGAAAATCACTTTTTTAAAAGCAACAGACATTAAAGTTTTCATTCTGTATGTGAAGTTATGATTTATTTAGTGGAATGTAAATAACTGCAAGCAACACATATTGATAAAATTTTGCAAGTAACTCTAGAAAGAAACCTAACCATTTATACCATGGTGCCTGAGAACAAACTCAATTCTGCAGAATATGTAGAAAAAATATAAAGTGGTATGGGTGACATTTGGTGTCTTAGTAAAATGTTGGTGGGGGTAAACATTTCAAATATGTCTAGTCTAAAAGCGTAGTGACTTAGTTATTTTGAAAAATTTAGATCCTCACATTTTTAGTGATAGCATGAACATGTAATTTTCAAAATAAAGTATTTGTGCGTATCTGCTTTGCTACTACTGATTTCCATGAAACAAATTTGAAGTAATATTTATTTTCATGCATAAAATGCAATTCACAGCAAGAAGCAGAAATTTTTAGACCAAAAATCATAATCATAACTGAAAGTAGGAGTTCTAATAGCTTTCAGTTTTAAGATAGGAATAATTTTGTCACTCAGAATCCCAGGCTGCCATTCCTTATAGCATCCAAGGACGCAGCTGCCTTGCTGCTTTCAGAAGAGACAAAGGCATGGGCAAGGAGAGTCTCCTTGCTGCAGCTTACTTTTTGCTTTTTTCCCCACTTCAGGCTGAGCTCCCTCTGGTACTTATATTATGCTTTCTACTTTGACTTTCCTGTGCTGTAAATGCTATCCTCATCCTGACACTGCAATCATTAAACTTAAGAGGCTTAAGACATTTACTGGCAAATTGGACCAAAGGCACTGAGAAAAGTCTGTTCTCTCATGGTGACCTGAGTGAGACATAAAACTGAGGTGTGCTGCATACAGTGGGGGATGAGAGCTGGTAGGGCTAAAAATGTGAAATTCGGTCATGAATAATAAAGTTGAGAAGAAGGTGAGATCAAAGATGAGCTGGATATGAATGCTAAAGGAAGAGGAGGATAAGAAACACCAGTCTGCATGATCTTGCACAACTTTCTTGATAGGGAATACAAGAAATACTTAAGACAATTTGTAATTCTCAGGATCAAGTTTAAAGGGACAACAATAAACAGAAGATGCTGATGAACAGAACACACAGCAAATAGGCAAGGTCAAACAAATAAGAACGAAACCCAAAAAGATGGTGAGAACAGCACCATCTAAGAAATCAAAACAACAAGCAACATTTCTCCTGTTTGCTGAGAAGTGAGAAAAAGGGTGTTCCTACAGGCTGGAAAACGTACAACAAGTACCTTTTCCCTGCAGCCCATAGCCTTGTATGTGTGTTGTCTTATCTGCTCCTGTGATCTGATTACAACATGATCCTGATGGTCAGTTTTGCAGAGAATGTGCTGCTCTCCAAAACACCTTAAACAGCCCCCATGGGACGCCATTCTTCAAGAGACAGAAATGCTGGAGAGATGTCCCTGAGCACCCTTGAGGGAAAATGGTGTCATGTGCAAGGTAATTCAATGGAATAGAGACTTTTTCTCTCCAAGGATGTAAAGGTGGGCACCCTCACTATATACAATTTTTTTGATGGCACCCGGGAACCTACTTAAAATTGTTGTGCCTGTCAAGCCAAGCCCATGGCCACCAGTTGAACAAGAGACTATGTGGTAGCAGTTTACTTTGAAGTACTTTGGAGAAGGCACTGTGTCTTCACACACATCCTAAAGAAGACATGCCTTGTCACAGTACAAATAGTAATCATAAATGGATAAACAGTCATAAAACTTTCTATCAACATCTAAAGTTCTGATAAAGCAAGTTCCTCAAAATGATCATCTCGCTTCATGAGGACCAGCGCAGTCAAGTCAGATATAGCGACACACTTTCTGAGCCGTTTCCAATAGCCAACGGTGTGAAGCAAGGCTGCGTTCTCGCATCAACTTTATTCACAGTCTTCTTCAGCATGATGCTCCAAAGGGCCATGGCAGACCTCGATGATGAAAACGGTGTCTACATTTGATATTGTACTGATGGGAGCCTATTCAACCTAAGGCCCACACTAAGACCTTAAATCATCTTGTCCGTGAGCTGCTTTACGCTGATGATGCCGCCCTTGTTGCCCACACAGAAGTAGCTCTGCAGTATTTAACATCCTGCTTTGCAGAGGCTGCTGAGCTTTTTAACTGGAAGTCAGCTTGAAGAAGACAGAAGTTTTCTATCAGCCTGCACCTCAGGAAGTCTCCCATCATCCCCATATCACCATTGGTGAAACAGAGCTCAGATCAGTCCAGCAGTTTAATTACCTGGGAAGCATCATCTCCTCAGATGATAAGATTGATGCAGAAATAGACAACAGGTTAGCAAAGGGGTACAGAGCTTTTGGTAAACTCCATAAAAGAGTGTGGCAAAACAAACACAGATCAGCAAAGATCAGCATTTACAGAGCCGTTGTACTGTCTACTCTTTTATATGGATCTGAATCATGGGTCATTTACCGCCACCACTTGTGTCTCTGAGAACGCTTCCGTCAGCGCTGCCTCCATACAATCCTAAACATCCACTGGACTGACTGTGTGACCAACACGTCTGTCCTTGAACAGGCAGCAGTCATGAGCATTGAGGCCATGCTGCTGAGAACACAGCTGCGCTGGGCAGGGCACGTCTCCAGGATGCAGGACTGCCGTCTCCCTAAGATCGTGCTCTATGGGGAACTTGCCACTGGCTGCTGCAAGAGAGGAGCCCCGGAGAGGAGATCCAAGGACTGCCTGAAACAATCCCTCAGCCTTGACCATATTGATCACCACCATTGGTCTACCCTGGCCTCCAATCGGGAGGCCTGGAGACACAGCATCTATAACGCTGCTGCTGCTTTTGAGAACACACGCAGGATCACTCTCGAGGAGAAAAGACAATGCAGAAAGAATCGCGTCTCGTCTGTATCACCTGGCGAGTCTTTCTGCTGTGCCTTCTGCAACCGGACTTGTCTACCTCGCATTGGCCTTTTTAGCCATCAGCGTGCTTGTAGCAAGCATGGGTAGAGCCCTTCTCAAATCTTCGTTCGCGAAGCCTAGACGTGATGATAATGACATCTAAAGCTGTAAAACTTGGTATCTGATGTAACACTGAAGTCAAAAGGCTTCATCCAACATATTCCTCCTCTGAGTCAAGTGGATTTAATAACGTAGCAAACCTGCAGAAGTGATACACTGTCATTCTGTCAATGACTTCTATCTAACTTCTTGTCAGGATCTCATTTATAAATTGTATAGAAAATACTAGACTCTTGATTTTGAGTCTCTTGGTAAACATCAACTTTTGTAACCTTTAAAAATCTGACTTAATTTCCAAGTGTCATCAAAAACTTACAAAAAACTGCGTAATGCATTAGATGAACATAACTTGCACTTATCTCTATAACATTTTCAAAAAGTCATGATTCAGTGCTATTTCTGGTGCTGTAATTTTAATTTAGGAAGTTATTTAATCTCTGATTTTCAAACAGCTAGTCCAAACATACTGATTTATGCATAAAACAAAACAACGGTTTTGAAATAAATGTGTTTATCTAGCACAGATTTATGGAAAACAAAAAAAAGAGCTCCTTCTTGACTATTTATTGAGAAGTTTGCATTTAAGACTAAAATATTACCCTTCTCTCTTCTTGCTTGCCATAAAGCATGTGAATGACGTTTGAAGAATAACATGCGTATGCGTAATGTGGGGAAAGAAGCTCTTGAACAACTTTGGATCTAGCATCTAGACAAATCTATATAAATCCTTGGCATACTGAAGGAATTATAGGAGTGGATGTTAAAGCAATGAACCAAGACAGCCTAGAAGGTATGCTTCACTGAATTGGAAATAGAAATTTAAATGCATTTAACTTACTGGGCCTGTAATATCCATTTATCTATCACAAGGCTCCTTTGTAGGATAGTCTTCAGAGACATAAAATGACCTGTATTATAACCAATATGATTTGGAGCAGTTAAGCTCCTCTAAGGCTCTGCTCCTGCAAGGCTCCATGTTGTGCAGGTGTAACCTCCCCTACTCAGACTATCCTACATAGCCAAGGGTTTAGAAAAAAAATAGAAAGGGATGCTTGGCTATGTTATTCAGATTGCAACTCCTCCTTTTGCAGCTTCACCATCTAACTTTGCCTTGAAGGAGTAATTAGCAAATATTTCAATTCCCAGGGCTTCTTTTGACGTCAGCAGCCTGCTCTGAACTGGGGAGGGAAGGGACCAGTATCCTTTTTGGTATCATTTACTGTGCATTGCATTTACTATGCATTTGGATTTGGCAGGGGAAACTGGGCCTATGCTGGTACACCTTAGGCCCAGAAGTCCCATGGAGGTTGCAACATAATCCAGACATTTGGGTATATTTGATAGGCTGGCAACCCCTAATAAGCCATAATTCATAACCTCACTCTTTTCCAGTTTCTTCTAGCATCTAACAAAAGCCTTACTACTCTCCAAAATACAATATTGTTTGTTTCAGCACCAAGCTGAAAAGATGAAACAATGCATACAAGGAAAGTATTAAAAGTACTTGTGTTTGGGTTTGTTGTTGTTGTTGTTGGTTTTTTTTGTTTGTTTATTTAGAATGCAAGGCAGTAACTCTTTAAAACAAAACATACCTCCAGCTAAACATGCATTCAATCTACCGTCCCACATCCTTACATAATTTTCACTGATAAGAATTTTTGTCTCTGACCTAGAAGAGTAGGTGTAATGGATAACTAAGTGGTAATCAACTGAGCACTAAAAATTGAACACAATTTCATCTTTAAGAAATTACATACCCACTTATTACTGTAGCCATATAAAGACCCAATTTACGAAAGATTTCCCAGTCCTCAACTTCCACTATCTTCCCAGCAATTAAAAACACGATACCAATTGGCATATACCTAGAAAGCAAAAATAAGGCAATCAAAAATGCATTTTCAGAAATACTGCATGCTCACCATGAAATAATTTCTCTCCCACTATACCTTCTTAAAACAGATAGAAAACATGTTTTGGTATTCTATTACTCAACTGCAGATTTTTTTTTTTATAATCTGTTATACAACTTATTTTATTCACCTGCAGCAAGACTACAACAGAGGTGATGAAAAAAGATTAGGAAATCAGAATAAATGTAAATCTATGTGTAGTCTAACAAGTACTATATAAGTTGGTGTCACAGAATACACAGAAGTTGGGATGTGGTGTGGGCTAATACCCCATGGCAGCATATATTTCTGTATAGATGTAAACTTCCTTGGAGGTGGAAGTATGCAGGGCTGAGACCTGCATCTGTGTATTCTGCAATCACACCCAGGTGGGAAAGGTCTCCTGTACTTACAGGAGCTGCCCTCCAGCACGGAAGGGGGGCTATATCTGTGTCACCTGCACCAAATAGAGTGATTTTAGCTTGATGAGATAGTATGCTCCTCAGTGTGTTGCCTGAGGGAGGGGTCTCCATCTGACAGTAAACTTACACAAGGCCACACCTTACCACATGAAAAGCTGCATGGACTACTGCCTACAGAAAATTCAAGTCAAAAATCAGGAATTATGTTAGCAGCAGCTCCACTGTGTTCCTTCTGTGGAGTTTCACAAAAATGAGCAGAATATTGTAGTAAATGGGATAAGGCACTCCACGTGTGAGATCAAACTCTTGAAGGGATTATGTATGCTTATAGTACTGATACTGTAATTGTGATCTGTGTGGACAAGAGCTCTGTGAATAGCTGTGAAGTCCAACCAAACATTACTAGGTGAGTTGCTACATTTTTAAATTGTTTTCCCTGTCTGAGAATATTACGAATGTTGTCTCACGAAACCTATTAGCAGGAGGTAAATGATGCTAAATTGTATTTTGCATACCATGCTGGATTTTGCCCTGGGGTGTGCCTTGTATATTAATTCATTTTCCTAAAGGAACTTAGATCCTGTGAACATAATTGCTATCAGGGAATAATGCTCAAGACTGACAAGGGCATATGGGCGATAATGATTCTACAGTCCTCAAAGTACTCCTCAAAGTCCTCAAATAACTAGTGCAGTTGTACTGGTTTTATATAAACCTCTAGCAAGAGTGTCCAAAAACCTCAGGTTTCTTTTACATCAATGGAACTGTTTCTTTAGTATGTAGTAAGTGAAAGCTCTGTCTCCAGTTTCTTCAAAAGAATCAGTTCTTTTTACCAACCATTCTTTGAAAGTTGCTTGCTGTAAAGCACTATAGAAAAGCAAACATGAAGTCTGAGTCCGGTCCTACCTCTTCAATGACAAAATCCACTTAAAGAAGTTGATAGAAAATGCCAGTATAACCTTGGACTTACCACATAATTATCTGAACTATTCTCATTGTAGCTTCGTTCAGTGCATTGAAGAAATCCAAGAGCACTTGTCCTTTCTCTCCCATTTTCCCAATAACCATTCCAAAAACAAGACAAAAGACAATCAACCCCAGTGCATTGATGCCATTGGAATACACGCCCACGATTTTGTATTCTTGGGTTTTGTTCTACAGAACAGAATAAAGAGAAAAAAAATACCATCTGAAAACATTGAACTTACTTTAAGGATTCACTAAAAGGAAAACAAACTTGGATTTTTCTTTGAAAAGACATGGAGCTCTTTCCAAGTCACTCTATTCCCTTTCTGAAAGTGCCAAGTGGGCAAGTTCAGGAATGAAGTTATAACTAAACTGAACTTGAACACTTCGTATTTTAAAGCCATGCAAGGATCTGATCAAATCCTAGCAGGAAGTAAAGCACTCCTTAATTTATACTGTCCTTTCTATAGACTTCTGACATGAATGATGGCAATGTCTAGGTATACACATTCATGCTTCAAGATTTACTCCCCTACACTCGATTTACTCCTCACTGTGGAGAAAAAACCACAGCTGTACAATCATTGTGGATATTTCTGAGGAACTCAAGGATTTTTGTCTTGATTTAAGATAAATTGACCATTGAGCAACAACTGCTACATCAGTGAAATTCCATAATTTAGAGCAGAACTGGATGCACATAACATAAACATCCTACTAAATACATAGGTATTCATGCATTCCTCTGAGCTTGTGCAATATGAACATATGAAGGAAAGGGTGCAATTCTTCACTACATCCTGCTTCAGGATTTAATTCATGTCTCTTCATGAATTTTGGAAGGAGATGAAATTCGGAAGGAGTATAATAAAATATGTATTGATTTGGTAATGTTTGTAGTTCTGTGTTCACATTCTTTTAATTCCTTTCTCCCTCTCCTCCAGGGTAAGTCTAGGCTTTATAAACCATCAATACCTACAAGCCTTCCACACCTCTAATGAGAGGCTTGTTAAACCTCTTCTTCACTTTTGTCTCTCGACATTCTTTCTTCTGAGAAACAAATTATTAATTAACAAATGCCTGATATTATTTTGCTTTCCCTTAAAACAATTTATGATTTTTGACTCCTTTTCTTCTTTTGTGCTTACAACTATGTCCCTGCTGCTTGAACATGTTGCACTGATATACATCTAGTCTTTCTACAGTGAGTGGTTTAATTTCTCAGCAAAATGAAAATTCATAAGGATATCGATTTAATCAAACTTCATCTAGTATCTCTGGATTGCTTAATAAGCCGTGGACTCCTCTGATGCTCTTAAACTTACTGGAAGATCCTCATAATGATCTCTAGCACTTTTGAACTTTTGTGCTCTTGCTAAAATCCTCTATGTGCCACTTCCTGCCTTTTCTTCATCACTAACCACATGAACGAAATCAAATTTAGTCTGTGTTCTTTATCCCCACTTCCTATAATATGAAGGAATACAATGATAAAGAATACATTGATAAAAAAACACCTCTGAAGCCGCTGCTGTCGTAGCAGTTGTAATGGGTTCGCCAGGAAATGTGGAGATGTTTTTATCCACAGCAATCGTAGCTTTAACTTTTTCACGTTTGGTTTTATACTGGAAAAGTTTAAAAAAAAAAAACAACAGAAGAACTTATTTAGAAACATGAGGAAACTGAAGAACAGACAAAGGCATAGCCTCTGACCAGTAAAAATAAGAGAAAAATGAAACAATCTGTCTTGAAGGTAGCAATCATATTAAAGACATTATTTCCCAATTCATTTGAGCCATTCGGGTTCTGTAGCTCAGACGCTATAGATTCAACAAGTGATTCACAGATATGTTATGAATTCTGCATGGAGCTGCTGCAGTCTTGTGGGCCATGAGATAGAGCTCCTGACAATGGCAAGCAGACTTTTTTCCTGAGACAGTCTGGAGAGAATTGCTGACAGCCACCCCACTTGTGGAGCAGATGCACCTCATACAACCACTCCTGGTCATTAATGCAAGGCAAACATTCATTCTTTGTGGCAGAACTGGTCACATAATTGTTCCCTTTCCCCTCGTTATCAGGCCCTCAAAGTCCAAGCACCAAGCGGATAGACCAGATAGACTTATTCTTCCTCTCCCCACTGGCCTCCAGATTCCTGGGCAACCAGGCTGACCAATCCTCTCCTTATTGGCCTTAAAGGTTCCAGGCACCCAGGCAGATGATCCCAGTCACAGAACATGGAGGACTAACAGCACCCAGAGCACTGTCCATAAAACGAGCAGGTACAAGTCCTAAGGGTAACTTGGACCAGAGCTGCGGCTGGACAGTGAGGCCTGGTGGTCAGGGATGCCTCCACCATTGTCTGATTCCTCTGGGGACTGAGTGACCAAGCCACATTATTTGAGACGTTTCTCAAGTCTACAGTATGGTTGCTATGTTGATACAGCAAACCAAGTACTAAGGTTTGGCCAAATCTGCAGAGGGTCCAGCTGATTAGAAAACATAAGCTAAGTGGTGCTATAATAAAATCGTACCACACTGGTTCTGCTCATAGAAATCCTGTGCTATTCTGATTATAAATTCTGTGCTATACTAATTATAATATCCTGTTAAGAAAATAAAACTAACAGTAACTATCATTTAGTGCCACCATCACTCTGCCAAGGATCCCTAGAAGAACCTATCTGTCCCCTTACTGTTGGGTGACAGTAATTAATACATAAGAATTACTACATGGAGAAGTTTTATAAAGAGGAAATACACTGAGCTGTGCACAGCAGCACATCTGATATCACATCCTGGGAAAGGTTAACTACCTTACATACAAATTTTAGATAAACTGTAGGCAGTTGCTGGGAAAAACAAAAGGAAAGTTGAGAGCATCACAGGAAAACCAGTTGATGTATTTACAGGTAAAGATGACTGAATCTGAAAGAAATCCAATATATAGATAAGACTTTCTTCTTTCATCTTGCAACTCTCACTTTTCCTGAAAGATGTCTCAAACAGACTCTGTCTTTTCCTTAATGTGGATTATTTAGTCTAGCAATGGACATTAGATGTGAGACACATTAGGGTGAGGGCTAAAATATGCAGACATCATCAGACACTGAGAGACCTTAAGAACAAGGAAACACATCCTCATAGGAAGTTTTTCTAAATCTTGTCCCCAAAGGAAAAATCCTGTCTTATACACTGCTTGGTTTTTGCATCCAGCTCCTGAACAGCGTCTTTTTGCAACAGAATATTAAGGACTATATAGCTGGTAACAGAGTGTTTAACATAATGGAAATGAAACCAAGATACCTTAAAACCTCACATCTTTATAGGAGATTAGAAACTCCTAGACTTTTCAGAAACAGTCTTACCTGACATAGATCTTTTTGGGGACATAAGAGAACAATTTGTAGTTAACAAAGAAAATCCACAGAAGTGAAGATGAACGTTCAAACTTACCTGTTGAAAACAGGCCTGAACAAGGTTCTCTGGGAACATATTCCTGGTAGGAAGCATAGAAGCATTTCAACGTTATAGCATACTAAGAAAAAGTTGTTTGTATAAATAAAATGACAAAATTTGCTGCTTAAAAAACAGATCGCATTTCCTTTAAGCAGAAAACAGTATATTTGGCATCATCAGATATAGAGTCCAAAGAAATTAAGGGTTTGAGTCCCAGCGATCAGTTGACCGTTTTCCTACTGTTGAATTTTTGGGCTTATTTTTCAGTATTTGATATTTCTATTGATATACTAAACCCAATGTATTTTTTTCCCTGCTACATCATCTCCATTACTTGCATGAGGAGTACAGGACACACCATTCTTATAGGATTTGTCAGAAATAGGCAGAAAAGAAAAATAAAAAACTTCTTATAAAAGCTATACTGAAAGAATCAGATATTTGGTGTACTCTATTGTAGTTTTGAATTCAGAAACTAATCTTGGCTAATGGAAGATTCCATTGTGTTACTTCAGGGTCCAGAACCATTTTCACACACTGAAAAATTAGGAAATTTAGTTCAACCCATTTGTGTTCCTCCTTTCCAACAGCCAATTTCAGATTCAATTGATTGCAAAAAAAAAAAAAAAAAAGCATTCATTACATATTTAGTGAATATCCAATCCAGTGCAGAAAAAGACATTTTATACACTGAAGCACAAGTTTTCATCTACCTCACAGAATGTTCACAAACTTCTGCTTTTAGTTCTCAAATTTTTAAAGCAAAATCTATTCAAAAGCAAGAGCAGTTTGTACAAGCCTGGGGTTTTCCTTTATCGTTACAGGACTGTCTGGATTTGAATCTTAAATCTGATGAGCATAAATATGTAGGAAAATTAACTCTAATTCCTTTAAAACAGGATTTCAGGTCCCTAACTCCTAAATACAGTCTTAACTTTTTTGCAGGAAGTTGAGCTATAAACTATAGCAAACACCCAAACAACTACCAATTACAATTCACACCACTTTTTGCTATAAGAAGACTTTTTGTGCATGGAACTACATCAGCCCTGTGAGTATGCATGGAAATGTTCATGTGGAAGTTACTGGTAACAGACTGGCTACATTAGGTTTTATAATGAAACTGATTACACAGTTCCTCTCATTGATTCCTGGGCAAGTGACCATGAGGAATGAGATGAGCTATCCAAGAAGCTGTCATTGTGGTCATTCACAGGCAGGAGGGGACAGACGCTGGGGAGAGTTGTGAATTACTGGACATGGGGCTTTGGGATTGAGGACTGTCAACTATCTCATACACAAACCTCAGAGAAATTGAGTTATTTTCAAAGAGGTTTACCTTGACCTGTGTTGGGGCAGAATTGCCCCAAATGACACAAGACATTTGATAAAATATAGGACAGTGACTATCTGGAGTTGCATCTGCAAATGCCATTCATATTTCCTAAAATAAAAAAAGCTGAGAAATCCAATTTTAGATATGTGCCAGTTGATTCTTACATGACAGATAAAGTAAAAATTCAACAAAAAGAAAACAGTGGGCAGGAATAGCCCACAGAAGAGAGACTCATTGCAGCTGGAGAAAAAAAATCCACAGAAACATTCCTGAGGGAACTACCTAGCCACTACTGGAAATGTAGCCCTTTTTTAGTGAATTTTTCTTCTAATTCTTTAAACACATTACGTCTGAAAATCTGCACATGCCTTCTGCAGGCTTTTCTAGGGTTTTCCTCCTTCTAACCACTTTAAAGTATCTATAATTTTTCAGGATGCTGATAGGGAAAGACTTTTTATAAGGCTGCCTTAGATACTGGTGATGCAGCAAACTTGATGGTGGAACCCTTAGAAACCTTTACATACTGCATCTGTTACTCTGCATCCTGCCTTGAGGAGGGGAGTACAGCACTACAATTTCAGGTGGTTGTCTATGCTGGATGACAAAGAAGGTGCCAGTTAGCAATCCACCATTAAATCCCTTATAGATCTTTTCTTCATAGTAGATTAATCTTGCATATCAATTTCTGTGAAGGAGGGATTTTTCACCATTGGTTTATTAACTAAAGTCTGTGGCGTTAAACAAGCTGCTTTCAATGTATTCTTAAATATCTAACCTGTTGGAATACAAATTATTCTCCTCTTATTCATCCAAATGACATTAGAAAGCATCTTATTGTACTACATATCCCAACGTTAGTTGTGTTTGCTTGGACTTCTGCAAAACCAATATGGGAACTAAAAATTAAAGCCTCACCTGATCAGATCGAGCATGGCATCGACAGTACTGACTTCTGGGGTACTGCCTACCCTGTCGATCTCACTTGCTCTCTGAGTCACTCCAGGTTTAATGGTCACGACTAAGACAATTCCTGCAAAGGAGAAGCAAGAGTGCAAGAAGAGGCATTGATGCATTCTTCTTCAGAGTATCTTGTGTACCAAATTCTTTGTGAGCTCAACTCAATGAATGCTTTCCCTGGGTGCTCATGCAGATAAGGGGGTGTCAGTAAATGTGTGGGTAGCTACTCCAATACTGGAGCTACTTGCAGTCTTGCCACTGGACTTGGGCACTTTAGCTTTGGGCACTTCAGTATGTATGATACTAAATCACTACTGCTCACCAAGAGAGTAAATTACTTTAACTGGGTTTCAGACAAGGAGTTGAAGTTGAGTTGAGTACTCTTCAGTTGAAGGTGGTTCAGTTGAAGGTGGTTCAGTGAAGAGTACTACTCTTCAACTTTTGTATAGTGAATATTTTTAATTGCTTTCCCCTTCTGTAGCTCTTGTTACTAGCTTTCAGATACGAACACAAGTGAATCATCCTGTGACGTCAAAGTCAGAGAATGTTTTGGTAAAGTCAGTTATCAATAAAGTTACGTAAGAGAAGGGTTTCAGAAAAAGAAATAAAAAATTGTGGATTAAGAAATACTAGATTTGACCTTGTAAATACTGAAATCAATAACAAATTTTTCATTTACTTTAGTGGCCTCATTTTAGGCATTTTTTTAATTATATGAAATACTAGGCTTTTCCTAAGGCACATTATTCCCCTTTCCCCCTCCCCCCACCCACCCCAAGCCCAAAAAACCTAAAGCAAATGAAACTACTACATCTCCGTAAAGAGAGAAAGAGGCGTTTGGATGATGCTTCAACCAGCCAGGAACAGGTCTTTCTAATGACAGCTGTGAATAAAGGCAGGACTGCATCTGCATAGCCCTGCACTGTGAAATAAGTAATGCTGTTAAAATCATGGATTAGCTTAGAATACCAGTAACTTTTGGAGAGCCTCTGGTTTAACATACCACAAAGACTTGGGACAACTTCAAACTTAGACACATATTAATGTTATTCTTTATTAATTTTCCTCCCTATTCTGTATTCACAGAAATTTCCCAGACATATGAGATAGGCAGTTTTATTTTGTTTCTTATTTAAGAAGGCTGACTACACATGCTTCTTTAAGCAAATATGGAACATTTCAAGGTCATTTGTAGGGAATAAACTTCTTTTAAAAGGAGATGTGGACTTCAGAGAGCAGGAGTGGAGCCTGGCAGTGACAGAGTGGGTAAAACCCTTTAAGGAAGGAGATGAGATGACAAGGGAAGCAGTATTTTATGTCATTTTTTCAGGTGTGACACATTATATATTCCTGCACCTGAGAATCAGGAGCAATCCAGCACTTTTCTATTGAGGAAATTCACTTTGTAGTTGAGGTTGGCCTTTGATGTTCACTCAGCTTTCCCACTGCTGGTCACTGTTTATCTCAGCAGACAGCTCGTAATCTTCCCTGAGCTGAAATATATGGTGAAATTGCCTGTGGCTTCATATTGGGTATGAACACAGCCTAGTCTTGAACAGTGGCACTAACTTCTCTCTGTATCTGGCCACAAGTAACGTTAAGTTGCCTGGTATGATTCCCTGTCTCCTCTCCCCATCCTATCTTGGTAAATTAGTAATGTCACAGTGATGTAGTACATTTGTAATTAGGCAATGCTGATGATTTTAAAAGTTACAGAATCACAGAGTACCTAGTATTACAGCCATGACTGTAGTGCAGAGATAATATACGACTGCTCGCAAACCAATCTTCCCAGAAATGTTGGAATCCAAAGCAGCAACACCTGCAAAAAAAAGCCACAAAAACAAAACAATAAAAAAGTCTTACAAGAAAGTTATTTTGTAGAGACAACTAATTATTGTCTCTTATTTCTATGTTTGAAATTTTTCCTTATTCAAGATATTTCTAAATACCTAATTGCCAGTTGGATTTCTGAAAAATACCTGTAGCAGAATAACATATTTGCTTCTGCTTCTTTGCAAAAATCTGGTTTCCCTGGGTATTTCTAGAGAAGAGATAATTGAGCTTTCCTGATTCCTTGATGTTTGTGAATGAATTAGACTTCTTTGGCTTGTCAGAGTATCTTACAACAAAAGCTTCACTTTTTTCAGATTTGTAACTTTTGGCTTTAAAACTAAAAGCCATGGAGAGTTGCTCAGAATGGTTACCCTGGGTTGCTCAAAGGCACATCAGGCAAGTAAGGATGATTCCTGATGGTTTTGCCTTCATTAGTGGGTTTACTTTTTTTTTATTTTTGACTAAAGCTTTTATGAAGTCTGGGTTGTTCACACTTCTCTGCCTGTATATGTCATTGCCAAGAGAAGAGGGCAGTTTCGTTAATGAAGGTAGGGAAAGTGCTGAGGCAGGTATTATTCTGAGGTCAACTTAACTTCCAGCAACAATATTATATCAAACTTCTGGTGAACTATTTTTTAATTGTTTAAAAGATTTGCAGTTATATCTGTACACATATGATTCAGTAACCAGGAAAAAATGAGCATTGTGACTGTAAAACTTGGCTGTTTATAACAACATTAGTTAATAATTCACTTCTATCTCTTCATTATACATTTGTGATCCATTTATATTTTTACATTTATTGAGTTAGTTTATCAAAGACTGGCCAGATTGCCTTGTATAGGAAAGCAAAAATTCCAGGAGGATGTTTAACCTCAGAGAAGCATGCAGGGAAGAAGTTTGAAATGGAAAAAAAAAATCAAGTTACAAATATAACTTACTGATCTTTGAGCTCAAAAAGGATCTTAGCAAGCATACTTTAACCAGGTGCTGATGTCCTTTTCACAAGGTATATTAACAGCAGTGACAACTTGTGCCTAGAGTATTCATATAATGCCTTACTAGTTCTGTTAATTGTTATTTGAAATTCAAACAGTACTGGGAGGTGAGAATGAATGTTATTTTATTTCATAATCTATTTGATTATTTTGGGGTCATCCATGGGATAGTGCATCATCAGACTGAGTACAGAAGAGCTGCACATATATACAGAAATCATGGTGTAAAGATTATCTCACTTGTACAGCAAAAAAGGATAATTAAAGAACTATTCACATGGCAAAGGAATACAGAGCAGTGCACAGAAAAAGTACTGGCAGGGCTATCACAGGAGGCTGTCTGCACGAAGGATATTGTTTGAGGCACAAACAACAGAACAGACACAGAATGTGGACCATCATTGATATTTCTCACCTTGGGAACTGAGAAAAAAACAGGTAGAAAGGAGAACTTTGAATTGCTTTGGGCTCAGCTGTGGAAATCATGGCACTGAGAACTCTTGAGAATGGAGAGTAATAAATAATGTTTTCTGTAGACAGCAGCAGACCTGGTTTCAAATGCTGTCAATATTGAAACTTCCCCTGCTGATATATTAACTTGGAAGACTTTACATTAGGTTTTAAAAGAGAGCAAACTGGTACTGCCCCAGTTCCATATCTTTTAATGAAACGTTCACAAAAACTAGAAATCATGGAATTTTATTCTAGAACTTGTGCCTTAAGATTTCTTTTCTTTGCCTGACTGTCTTGCTGACTCACTCAAGAGTCTAATAATCATGCAAGGTTATTTCCCTGGAGTACTCAGTTATAAAGATTCTACAGTTAATATGACAGTAAGTTCCTATAACAGACGTTCTTCTGCTCCAAATGAAAACCATTTGCATACCATTATGCTCATTGGAGTTACAGAGCTATAATTAAGGGAAAACTTTGCCCCTTTCTTTTTAAACTGGGTAATGATCCTGTTGGTGAGCAAGCTGTGCTAGGATCCAGCTTATGCTTCCACTGTCATGCCACTGCTGCTTTGCTAGTAACCATAAAAACATACAAATCACTCAGGTAGGCATGACTATGTAAGGATAAGTATGGTCTCAGTGTGACAGGTGTGGGGTTTCGGGCTTTTTTGTAAGCTGCTGTACTCTGAAACAAAACTGCATTCAGAATGATGCTTCCATTTAGAGGCTGAACTGTGCCACAGATACATGTTTGCACTGGGTGTTTTATGCTGCTAAGCTCCTTTTTTCATGTTAGTTTGTTACACATAGGAAAACGTGATAAATAAAAATACATTTCCCTTCAGATATATCTTACAGTCATTACTGAGCAACTGGTAGTGTAATTGATAGCTACTGGCATTCCTCTCAAGCAAACTGAAAATTAAGATTCCCTTTGAAATAACATCATGGCTTTACAATTTTTTTTTTATATAACTGAAAGAGTTAATGGAAGATGTATTAAACAAAGCACCCAACTAACAATGATTTCAGTTCAGAAGAACTTATTTCTCAAACTTAGATGGCAAACACGTTACTCAAAAAGAAAAGCCTTCAGTGTCGTAATTCCAGATTAGATCACAAAAGCAGTACAATTAAGCTTGGCTATCTACTGTGGATTACCACTAAACTAATTTATTTGTTCTTTCCTTCCCTCAGCGTATCCCCAAGTCTGAAATTTAAACAGATTTGAGCAGATAAACTGTTAATACAGTCTACTGTATGGTGTTTAAACAGGCATGATGGATTCTCCTTCATCCCTGGGCATTTTAAAACCGCACTATTTCAGATTAGTTCCTTAAATTTTCTTATAAGAGATATTCTGACTCAGCTACAGCCACTGAAACATGGAATGCAATTCTGTGGCTGTGATACAGAAAGTGGAATGATCACAAGAGACACCAACTGGTCTTAAAATCTGTTAATCTATCTACCTCTCTGCCTGTATCATTTTAGCAGAAGAGAGTTAAGGTTTTAATAACTGCAGTCAAATTTTGGAATCAATTACCTAGTCTTCTGCAATTCACCTTCCATACTTTTTATGTTATGATCCAACCTGAAGCTCTTAGTATCCTACTCTCTTTTTGAAAAAAAAATATATTTTTTGAGGAAAGGATGGGAGGATGACAAACTAGTATTAATAATTTTGTTTGACAGAATATTAAAAGGCATCAAAATGAGGATGGTACAGGGACCTCAAGAGAAGACACATACTTTTGGGCAAGATACATAGACATCCCATGTTAAATGCTGAGGGAAAAAATAAAACACCAATCCAGCTGTTCCTAATGTCGTAATAAGTTTTTCTTATTCTCTACATGTTGGGGTTTTTTACTTGAAACCTCTTGTTGGTATAACCATAAAGCCTACAAATTTAATTTCCTTCTATTTCTATAGCTGCTATTTTGCTTGATTACCAGAGTATTCCTAGGACTTTCTTCTTTAAAAAATAACCACAATGGAGAACAATACTGTGAAACTTGCAAAAATTCAGAAGTGGAAAAATTGAATGGTTACAACAGACTGGTTTAATCCCATGTTGTGTTCAACTACTGATTTTAGCACGTGGAATACGTTGTATTACCAAATTTGAAGACACATAGCTTCTCCAGCTTTCGTTTTAGAAACCCTGTCTACCTGGTTAAGAGCATCAAAACCAAGAGTCCTGTAAAGACTGAAATATAACAATTTTAGTCATCTGCAACTTCTGGAATCTCTCTAAAATTTCCTTCTTTATATTTTTCTGTTCTTGATTTTTAGAACTGCTTCCCTAAACTACTACTGTATGGAGATACTTTACCTAAGGAAATAGTCTGGTTTAAACAAAACTAAGCCTAATACGTGGTGTTCCGGAATTTTTTACCAGTAGCCACTGAACATAAAGTGTGTTCCCTTTAGAGGCTTGTAAAAATATACGTGTATAAATGGCCAAATGGCTTTGGCTCAAGGTACAACACTGTAATTCTAGAGTTCTTCACTATGCTCTTGTGAGACCAATCCTATGGTCCCGTGAGATGTAGGAGTGAAAAGGGTTCTATTACAGTCTGGAAACAATCACAGGGATTTTCTGAATTCCAGTGCTTATCATCTTATTAGCCCTCTACGGGATAACACCTACGTCCTTAGCATTTACTATACCATTCTACAGAGTGGAATATGTGCAACTGTGTACACTGATTTATGCTTACAGGTGTTTTTTCCAACATATTATGAGAGATTACATCTACAATTTGGTGCTGTGTTTCACTCTGTTCAGCAGCAACAAGCATACCTAAACACCTTGGCACTTTTTTCTGCTGTTCTACAAATTTCAGTGCCAACATCAAGCACATCTCTTGCAGTACTTCTTAGCTGTTCTCAAAGTTTCTGAAGATTGGTGGAAGCTGACAGGACCTGTTTCTTTCACCACCTCACCACTTCATCTGCACGACATACTGATCATTATATATAATCAGTAAAACTCCTTTAGCCAAGACTGCTACACTTCATGTGAATTTTCTCTGTAGAAAGATCGATACCACTTTGCCAGCTCCTAGCACTGATAGCAGGTTGTTCTTAAGTGTGACTCAGAGCCAGAAGGAACAGTCTGGCTCAAGGGCCTTCCAAGTTCACATGACTGCCAGCCATGGTGGTTTTCTTGACTAGTTTTAGGAGATAACTGCATTTCTAAGGAGAAATTACTCAAGTATGGCACACATAAACTGTACACAATTCTCTCAGGGTTCTGATACTAATTCTTACCTAATTCCCTATTGTAACAAAAATATAACAACAAAAGTTCCTGAAGAGTAGAACTGTATGGCTTTTACACCTTCTCATCTATGACTATGATGTTGATTCAAGGGCAAAATGCAGTTCTGAAACTGCTCCAAACTGCCATCAACCTTATTGTTTTAACTAAGGCATTTCTGAGGACACTAGAGGAATCATGAAATAATTCTCTACTTCTCCCAGATATAGACATTTTAATTCTTCACGTCCACTTTGGCTGTTCT